ACAAGAGCGAGGACATACACAGGAACAACACATTTATTTGTTGAATAAGCAGTTTGACATATAGACAATAATAACCTAATAAAATTATCTTTGAAAATGTTCTTCCCAACAATAATAAAAAATGGATGGATGTCTAAGGTCTAATGATACATACATGACAAACAGCAGCAGTGTCTACTGACTCATGCATCTGAAATGTTGAACTGAAATGTTGAACTGAAATGTTGAACTAAGGGGAAAACAAATTGTTCTAGTGGATCAAAAGCAGACTTCCTCATCATAACGAATGTTAAACGTTTTGGTATTATTCCTGTCCTTAAATTGTGGATTTAAAGATAAACATGAAATTACAGGGAAGAAATCACTCGCTGAATAAACTCAAAAAGATCTACGTATTTTCAATGTAATTATTGAAGTTGTATCGCGGATACAAGCGGTCGAAATGAGCTTCCTCCGCAGAGTGGCTGGGCGCTCCCTTAGAGATAGGGTGAGGAGCTCAGTCACACGGGAGGAGCTCGGAGTAGAGCCGCTGCTTCTCCACGTCGAGAGGAACCAGTTGAGGTGGCTCGGGCATCTGTTCAGGATGCCTCCTGGACGCCTTCCTGGGGAGGTGTTCCGGGCACGTCCCACCGGGAGGAGGCCCCGGGGAAGACCCAGGACACGCTGGAGAGACTACGTCTCTCAGCTGGCCTGGGAACGCCTTGGGGTCCCCCCGGACGAGCTGGAGGAGGTGTGTGTGGATAGGGAAGTCTGGGCGTCTCTGCTTAGACTGCTGCCCCCGCGACCCGGCAACGGATAAAGCGGAAGAAAATGGATGGATGGATGGATTATTGAAGTTGGTGGTATTGTTAAAATTGTGCTGGACCATTGATGAAAGACTTACACAGACTACTAAAAAGATGCATGCAAATTGCTGCCTCAATTTTTAAAAGTTTTGCTACTGCATTTTTTTTAAGAGTGTAAAGGACACAGGAGTAACACTTGTTTCACAGTTCACACTGTTTTTGTGCGCAGAACAGGGCGATTGTTTGAAGGGATAAGAGTGAATATAGTTTTTCTACACGCCTATCACTGGAATGAAATGAGATGCAATATGACGATTCACTCTTCAACAAAATAAACATCCTTTTCTCCTGATAGATTGATCTATCAAAGTTGCACTGCAGGCCCAGTGCACAACACAGCAGCCAATCAGGACTGTAGCTCCGCCCACATGACTCCAGCCCGGGTAGTAGGGTCAGAGTAAAAAGCTCAGAAGCACTTCATATCAGACTTGCATTTTCAGAAAAACACTACAATATTAAAAACTCCTTTTTTCATCTGAAATACTCTCAATTTTCAATCGGGAAATAACCACCTTTCACTGACCTGGCACGTAGAATGTTTTCATACCAGAGCCCAGCCCAGACATGTGGAAATGTTCTGTCTAAAGATTGACACAACCTTTCTTGAGAAATAGAAACCCTTTAAAAATGTGACAGTCAGCGTATTTTGGATTTGAATACTGAACATTTTACTTTGTTTTTTCATAAAGTTAATGTTGAACTGACATATTTTGCAGCCCCTTTCAGATAGACCACTAAGACCAATAACACACACACAAAAAATCAGGGAAACATTTATGGGAAGCCAGAAATTCTGCTTTAGCATCTCAAGTCTATCTCCCATAACTTCACCTTAGATTGTATCAAATAAACTTCAACTTCAGAATAAAAATGACTGGACTGGTGAATCCACTATAAATAGCCACTGAAAGCCGAAACGTGTCATTGAAAAGAATAATGCAATGTAGCGAATGTAATCATCCTGATGGGTAAAATTGTTATATTTAAATGTAAAACCAATGCAGAACTCTGTTTGAATAACTTTAAAAATAAACTGAAACAACAATATGTAATAAAAAAAATAATAGCTTCAAACACAAAAAGGATAATTGTGCACGAAAAAAAATGGAAGATGTTGAAATGGGACTGATGTCCCATAGAAAATGGGAAATGAGAGAATGGATAAGTGGATGAAGGCCTCGGGGACTTGTGTGTGTTTGGTCTCTATGTTTTTATTTTGGTTTGTTTTTTCTTATTTTTTGTTGTTGTTTATTTAGTTATATATATATATATATATTTTCTTTGTCTTGCCTGTTAGTTATGTATCTGTCGGCGGGCTTGTGTATTTTGTTTTGAGGTTGTCTGGTGGGTGGGATTTGTCATTGCGTTATGTTGTGTTGTGTGTCTTGTGTGTACATGTCTGGTGAGTGTCTGAAATAAAAAATAAAAAAAAGAATAATGCAACTTAAGGGAACACAATAGTTTTACAGTAGGTCCCATTTCGTTTTGTCGCCTTTCACGCGTGAATAGCACGAGACTCACGTGTGAAACACGCGTCTTTTATTTTTTTTTCCCCCAGTGATGCTGCAATGACCCAAACAACCACCAGGTGGCACTTGTGAGCATGGTTAGGAACATTGGCTTCTCACCGCTCTTTGTTCTCTCTTCACCGGAAAATGTTCTGTGGCTTTATAGCTCAATGATAAGGAGCTAGACTCTGATGCGAGAGGACCTGGGTTCAAGTACAGGCTATGACACTTTTGATTTTGTTGACGTTAAATTTTTTTCTAAAACATACTTAGTAATTAGGCCAACACATTTAAAATAGTTGCTAGACTTTAGTAAACTTGTAAAACGCGCTGGGTGTCACACATGGCTGGGGGCATTAACGCACGGGTTGCCACTATTCATTCTATTACTATTACTATTACTATTCATATTCCTGGAAAATTTTCATTTCCTCTATAAATTCATTCATGTCATTGATGGCCTAATAATAGTGTAGTAGCCTACATAGGATAAAATATATGCAGCATAATATGAATTAATACATATTTATATAAATATTGCATTAATTATGAGGCAGGGTGACCAATAGTGACAGATCTGCCAGCCAATCACGATAGATTATACTTATTTGAAAGTAGTGATTTCATCCAATGGGGAGTAAGCTTCATCCAATGGGGAGTAAACTACTAATGCACTGTAAACCCTGACAAGTAAAGTTTACTTGAAAAAACCATGGAAAAAAATTGCGTATTAATTTCACTTGAATTCCTCGAGTACATCGTTTACTTGATATTACCAAGTAAACTCGAGTGATTGCAATAAAGTTTAAATTCCTACTTATGCTCCGACGGATTCGTACTCAGAACCCTGTAGTTGAGAGGCAATGGTGCTACCCACTCAGCCACCAGGACACCCTGCCTTGCATTGTGCCGTGCATTGTCACACCTGCCTCATTAAAGACTACACATCAAAATGTCAAAAGTGAGGCTTACTTGAACAAAAACAGTTCAATTCAAAGAAAACCCTGAGTGACATAGGCAAGCTTTAAATAAACTAACAATAAATGAGTAATATATACTTACTGGGAAAAAGCTATTTAAAATAACTTTGATATCTGAAGTAGGATTGAAGTTAGGGTTTACAGTGTGGGGAGTAATCCCACGTGGGCTGGCCACGTGTGATTTTTCAGCCAATCACGAGTTTGAAAGTAGTGGTATCCGCCAATGCTGAATAGTGTTCTGAAGCAGCCTGGCCAGCCGCTGCATTCATATGCTAATTAGGGCCATTAGCGCTCGGCCGTCCGCAGTGTTTCGCTGCATTTATATGCAAAGTAGGGACATTAGCATGGTACGGATGCGGCAGTTTGGAGGACAGGGCACCCTAACTGCGCCTTTTGAAAACTGCCTGAGATACCCGAAAAAGAGCGTGATTTCCTGCCGTTTAGGGTGACGAAAATCTAACTTTTCATGCAGTGCCTTATACTGTAGTCGCTCATACAGACTCCAAACTTTCTAGTCTTGGACGTAACAATATTTAGAAGGTTTTTTCAGAGGGATTTTTTAATAGCCTAGCCTGATTTATTCAGCTTTGAACCCAAAAAAACAGGCGGAATTGTTCGTATGATTGAGGCTGGTTCGATCTACTGGACGTTTGGGTAAGGCAAGTTAAAGCTGCGTAGGAACTGAACTGTACTGAACTAGATTGACCAGGGCTCGAGTCCACAGGAATGTCGAAAATCCAGTTTATCTTGAAGCACCAGTGAAGCACCCGGTCAAAATGCATGTTTGCTCCTGGCTATTCCATACTGTAGAAGAAGTCAGAAAGGAACTTTTGAGAAGAAGTGTTTTTATTAAAAAATAAGAAGTAAAAATAAGTAATAAAGTAAAATACAATTGTATTGTTACAGTACGTACAATACAGTGCAGTAAGTTAGTACAGTGTTTTACAGAGTCAATCCTTTGACTTTAAACCGCGTTTTGATAGGCCCGAAGTGAGCAACAAACCTCACCGCACGTCACTGGGTGGGGGTGGGGGATGGGGGTTGTGGCACAGTCTTGTTTGTCAAACGGCCTCTATTGTAAAACACACAACTCACACTGAGAGAGGGATTCAGACTGCAGACATCACTTAAGTCCAAACTTTAGCAGGACTTCTCTTGTACTGCTTTTGTAATGAGCTTGATAAACATGTAAAACTTTAAATACAATTGGAATTCAACTCCACAATCAGCACCAACCAAACTGCAGGAATAAAAATGCCAATTTTACAACATGACATTTCCTTTTGACAAGGAAAGAAGATAACAAGCTGATAACGTTACGTAATTGCACACAAGCAACCAAAAGGTGTGCAACCAAAACTGCCTCAGACAAGAATCGAACCCGGATTCCCCGGGTCTTATTCTGTAACGCTAACCATTCGGCCAACATAGTATCGTTAGGCAAGACAAGTTTGCAAGCACGTTTGATACCTGAGCGTTTAAGTCGCTGGCAGCGCTAAAGCGGACTTAACCTGCCACCTTGTGGCGATAGGATGTAATATGTTTCACGCAGCTGCGTGATTCATGAAAAGCGTGAGTGAAGACGACAAAACGAAATGGGACCTACTGTATTTGGCATCAAATCTAGTACATTTGGTGTTTGCAGGTGAATAATCTCTAAAGCACTGATGCCATTAGAGTCGGTAAAAGCAAGTTTTAACTCTTTCAAAATCAGGTAGAATGTGGTACACTGCAAAAGGTGATGAATATAATTAATCAAAAATTTCTCAAATTTGGCAAAATGAGTGCATTATGAATGACTTAAAACAAGATTTACCAATGGGACGATGAGCAAAATTACCTTGATTTAAAAAGATGCAAGAAATGTCTCCCTTGGAATGAGAAAATAAACAACCGTTCTTGAAATAAGACTAAATGGTCATTGGCAAATCTTGCTTTAAGATCGTCAGAATGTAAACAAATTAAGATAAAAACCACAGGATTCGAGCCATTAAGCCTTCATAGATTTTACTGTTTTCAGTGTTAGAAAAGTACTAGAGTTTACGAAATAGTACAGACTATTCAAAATATTACATTCTCATTTTGAATTGAACCGTGGACCTTGACTCTGTGAGGTCCTGAGACTTTTGTAAAATGTCTGATCCAATTTCACTAGCTTTATGTTTTGTTATTGCTGGTTTATACAAACTCATTTATATAAAGAAAGTAGATGTGGTAAAAAGTCTGAGACAACAAACAGTTTAAAAAAAAACTATTTTGATTGTTTTGAGGCATTGGGTTCTTGAATTTCCACAAAATAAATCAGCATTAGAAAAACTGGACACACACAAATAACTATTAAAACACAACAAATAAATACATATTACATCCAGATTTACAACTCAAAAAACATTGTTGCTTAAACAACCTATTTCATTATTAATGGATTTTTTATAGCAACAATTTCCATGCATCAATCATTTCATGTTTAGTAATTAAGTTAATAATGTGTTAGCTAACTTTAACGGATCATTAAAGCTAAATTTATTAGACGTTAGACAACTGAGCCCCCTCACCATTGGTCTAATATTCTTCTCAAGAAAATATGACTGGTGTTGATTCTTGCCAAGGGGAGGGACTGCTTTAAATGTATCCCACTCTGCCTGACTCAGGTTGCCAGATCTGCGGACGACTCCAGCTGGGACCATAATCTGAATAGAGTTTTTTCAACAACAAATGTATAACCAACACCTTTTTCAGAAAGGCATCCCTGATTGAAATCCTTGTTTTGTCCTTATTGATTTGAGAAACATAAAAAGACCTTTATTTTTATTTTTGCGGCCACATGTTACTTTACCATTAGTCATTAGCTCGACGCAGTGAGTTCTGGCGCCTGGATCACAGCCTTTCTGATTGGTCGAAACGGTGGAGGACGCGACATTTTGAAATGAAAACAATAACAAGATTTAGGGGTGTGACTACTCGCTGGTCCAGTCCAACCTGAGTCAGCTCGAGGCCTTGTGCAAAGCCTCAGGGGAGCAGCTGCGGGTCCTGGACAAGGCAGATGAGAGGAGGGGGGTGAAGGCCAGAGGGACCAGTGACGGGACCATGAGACCAAAGCTGCAGAGGCTTCTGAAGGAGAGCGATGAGAGGCTGAGGGTGCTGAGGGCCGTGCACCGCAGAGTCATCAACCGGTCAGTTCCAACATCCGCAGGTTGTTAAGGTGTGAAAACTAAAGTAAACTATAGATTCTGCTGTATTACCGGAGAAGAGATTGATCACACTCAACAAGAAGAAATCTGATCCTTCTGCTATTAGGGCCTGGTTCAACATTATTGTATGATTTTTCTCCTGACTTTAAATGTCTGAGTGTCATGTTATAGCAGTTCTATAATGTTGTATATTATGTTGTTGGAAAATACATACAGAAAAAAATACGTGAAAAATCAAGGCTGCAAAAGGTGAACCCCCGATATAGTGAGGGACCATACTTCATAATGGATGGACGGACAAGACTTGTGGATTTTATTAACTGAAATTTGAGATTATCTTTTTGTTATTAGGATTATTGTTGCACATTGTTCATGTAAAGTGAGAGGGGATCAAGTTCTTGTTAAAAGATTTTGTTCTGAATATAAAATGTGAATTACAATTACTTTAGTATGACGAGAGTGTGACAGGAGACATTCTCAATTGACTCTCAGTGACTTTTTAAGGTAAATACAATTGAAGATCAAAGCAAAATGATCTTCCAATGGATTTTTGCCATAATTCCCTCTCATATTGATTTTTCCCTATGTAATTAGGGGTTCCCCAGGGATCTGTGCTTGGCCCTCTATGGTTATTCACATGAATCAGTTATTTTGGACGTAAAATATAAAAAAATACACACAAATGCTTATCCTGTAACTGGTCTTTTATGTTCAAACATTAATCTCCAGGTTCCACTCATTCTTGCTGTTTTTGGGCTACTCTCGATCCATGGTGCGGGACACGCGGCCGGAAGATTTCTGCAAAACCATCAGTGATTTCTCCTTGGAGTTCAGAGCCACGCGTCAAACCATTCTCCACCAGCGAGAAAAAGAGAAGGAAAGAGAGATAAAGGGAACAGGGAGCAGCACCCCAGTGGGACAGAGGAGGAGCCAGACACTCACACAGGTAAATCTATTCCATGTATTAAGTGCTTTTCATTCAAACAATGTGTCTCTGTATGAAAAAAGTTCTGCTTTTCTATCAATGTGCATAATTTACGTTTTTAGATCATTATGCATCATTTGTAAAAAAAAATAAAAAAAATAAAAACATTCCCTGGGGTACCTAATTTTTTCCCCACAAACGTTACTTTTTAATCCCAATAGATTATTAGAAAGTATTATAACACATTCCTATTTTATATACTTGTTAGAAAGAGCCCTGTGAGTCACTTTTTGACGCTTTGGGCTGAGAGCTGATTTAGTGATTCTGATCTTCTCTTGTTCATCTTTCTGTCTGGAAAAGATGTGACAAAGGCCAAAAAGTACAGTACATGCACCACAGAGTGTGAACAACAGTTATAAACTGTTTTGAACTAGTTGTGTGTGTTTTATTACAGAACATTGTGTTGTAGTTTAGTTGGGTATTATGCCAGCTTTTAACTTTATCTTGAACTTTGTGTTTAATGAATTAAGTTCAGAAGGTTGATTCGGCGGTTTGTGTTTTAAAGAAGAAAACAAAAGTCTGTAATCTGCAGTTTTTAATCTGTTTTATTTTTGTCTTTTCTGTAGGACTGTGAAGAGCAATATAAACTTGAGGAAATCCTAAAAACGGCAGAAACTTTGTATCGACTGGACGTGACGCTGCCTCGGAACCGGCGAAGGAAAACCGACGGACAAGGTAACAACGCACAAAGTCTATTATGATTTATTATTTGATTTTAGCGCAAAATTGAGGTATTTTATCCATTTGTAGGAGTTTTCTCACGGAATTTCAAGTGGTGACTCAAACATAGCGACTGCAGCGGTTAGAGCTATTGCTTCTCAACAAGAAGATCCTGGGTTCGACTCCCCGGTGGATGGAACCTTTCCTAGTTGAGTTTGCATGTTCTCCCTGTGTCTGCCAAGGTTTCCACTTGATCTGATCTGATTCTGTCCATCACTATACACGGCCCCATTCAAAGAAGTCAACTGAACAGTGAATGTTTGTGAACGTTCAGACAAAAAAGTGTGAAATTAGTAATAACTAAAGAAATACAAGAAATGTTTACATATTTATCTCCCTACAGGTATTCAATGTTTCTTTAAAATAAGTAATAGACTAATCCAATATGTTTTCTTTGTTTTGAAACAAGAAAACTAATATTACACAAATATTAGAACCAATATTAGACAAATATTAGAACTAATATTAGACAAATATGTGAGTCTGTTTTTAAGTAGTGTGGATCTTAAAGGTGATGTCTGCAACTTCAAAGATTTGTTTTCTTTGGATTATGAAAACATATCTTTGACCATTTAAAGTAACAATATGTAAGATTTTCAAGTCAAGTCATCATTAAATGGCCCTAATATGTAAAAAGGCACTAATAAACCATGAGAAGAAGCTTCTAGAGGTTCTAGGGGAAGCTGTGTGGGGGGTGGGGGGGGTCTAACTAGCGCTTGCATGTCTCTCCATCTTCAAAAGTACCTGACCATCACTTTAATGATCCGTTAAAACTAACACATTATTAACTTTCTGTAAACATGAAATGATTGATGCAAGGAAATTGTTGCTATAAAAAAATCCATTAATAATGAAATAGGTTGTTTAAGCAACAATGTTTTTTGAGTTGTAAATCTGGATGTAATATGTATTTATTTGTTGTGTTTTAATAGTTATTTGTGTGTGTCCAGTTTTTCTAATGCTGATTTATTTTGTGGAAATTCAAGAACCCAATGCTAAAAAACAATCAAAATAGGTTTTTTTTTAAACTATTTGTTGTCTCAGACTTTTTACCACATCTACTTTCTTTATATAAATGAGTTTGTATAAACCAGCAATAACAAAACATAAAGCTAGTGAAATTGGATCAGGCCTTTTACAAAAGTCTCAGGACCTCATAGAGTCAAGGTCCACGGTTCAATTCAAAATGAGAATGTAATATTTTGAATAGTCTGTACTATTTCGTAAACTCTAGTACTTTTCTAACACTGAAAACAGTAAAATCTATGAAGGCTTAATGGCTCAAATCCTGTGGTTTTTATCTTCATTTGTTTACATTCTGACGATCTTAAAGCAAGATTTGCCGATGACCATTTAGTCTTATTTCAAGAACGGTTGGTATATTTTCTCATTCCAAGGGAGACATTTCTTGTATCTTTTTAAAGCAAGGTAATTTTGCTCATAGTCCCATTGGTAAATCTAGTTTTAAGTCATTCATAATGCACTCATTTTGCCAAATTTGAGAAATGTTTGATTAATTATATTATATATATATATATATATATATCACCTTTTGCAGTGTACCACATTCTACCTGATTTTGAAAGAGTTAAAACCTGCTTTTATCGATTCTTATGGCATCAGTGCTTTAGAGATTATTCACCCGCAAACACCAAATGTACTAGATTTGATGCCAAATAAAACTATTGTGTTCCCTTAAGTTGCAGATTATTCTTTTCAATGACACGTTTCGGCTTTCACGGTGGCTACAGGTATTTATAGTGGATTCACCAGTCTAGCCATATTCTGAAGTTGAAGTTTATTTGATACAATCTAAGGTGAAGTTATGGGAGATAGACCTGAGATGCTGAAGCAGAATTTCTGGCTTGCCATAAACGTTTTTTTATTTTTTATTAGTCTCTCTATCTGAAAGGGGCTGCAACATGTGTCGGTTCAATATCAACTCGCTGAAAAAACAAAGTAAAATGTTCAGTATTCAAATCCAAAATACACTGACTGTCACATTTAGGGTTTCTCTTTCTTAAGAAAGGGTGTGTCAATCTTTAGACAGAACATTTCCACATGTCTGGGCTGGGCTCTGGTATGAAAACATTCTACGTGCCAGGTCAGTGAAAGGTGGTTATTTCCCGATTGAAAATTGAGAGTATTTCAGATGAATAAAGGAGTTTTTAATATTGTTGTGTTTTTCTGAAAATGCAAGTCTGATATGAAGCGCTTCTGAGCTTTTTACTCTGACCCTACTACCCGGGCTGGGGTCATGTGGGCGGAGCTACAGTCCTGATTGGCTGCTGTGTTGTGCACTGGGCCTGCAGTGCAACTTTGATAGATCAATCTATCAGGAGAAAAGGATGTTTATTTTGTTGAAGAGTGAATCGTCATATTGCATCTCATTTCATTCCAGTGATAGGCATGTAGAAAAACTATATTCACTCTTATCCGTTCAAACAAACGCCCTGTTCTGTGCACAAAAACAACAGTGTGATCGTTGAAACAAGTGTTGCTCCTGTGTCCCTTAACTTCCCTGTAATTTCATGTTTATCTTTATATCCACAATTTAAGTACAGGAATAATACAAAAACAAATATGTTTAACATTCATTATGATGAGGAAGTCTGCTTTTGATCCACTAGAACAATTTATTTTCCCTCAGTTCAACATGTCTTCATGAATTTCACATGCATGAGTTAGTAGACACTGCTGCCCTCTGCTGCCATCCATTTTCTTATTATTGTTGGAAGAACATTTTCACAAAGCATTTCTTTTATTAGTTTATTATTCATTTACATTTGTAATTACTTTGCTTAAGATTATGATCAAGTTACAATTAATCATAGTAACTTATGTTACACTGCTTCTTCAATATACAAAGCAAAAGGATGCAAAAAACACATATATGTTTTACAAACTAAGTGACTCAAAATGATCTTGTGTGCTATTAATAAGACACTTGAAAACAAATGACAGAACAATCATTCAACATAGTCTTGTTCATTCTCATTTCTCTTAATTTATCTGTCCAAGCAAACCCTGCCCTCCCCAGCAATAATAAAGAAAGTGATGATTATAACTGATTCACTCAAATAACTGAAATTAGTTTAAATGTTCTCTTAAGTTTCCTTCTCCTTCTTCTCCTCTGTTGACCCTTGTCCAGGAAGAATAGCTTTGTACAACTTATTTGCAGAGTCTGTCATAAAACCTAACATTCTCACTCCTCTTTTTGCTAAACCAGAGGCTGCTTCACCTGCTTTGCCTGAACTCACAGCATAGGTCCCTCCTACACCCACTGCTGCACCCACTATTCCACCCCCAGCACCAGATAATGCTATACCTATCCCCTCTGCCCCAAGATACCAAGCTAAACCAGCTCCAACCAGCTCCTCCAGCCACTGCTCCACCCAGCATACCTGCCAGCAAGTATCTTAACGGGACGCCATTTATTCTCGTGTACATGATGTGTTGCCAGAAGCCATTGGTGTAGCAGCCATCAGATGCTGATCCTGATTCCTGATTTTGAGCCTCCTCTGTTCTTCTCCACAGTGTGTTCAATGGTCTGCAGCAGCTGTTTGATCTGATATGTGTTGTTCCTGTATGTATCCTCGCTCTTGTTCCAGTATTTATTATCAAACACGTGACAGCGGCCTCCACACTTCTGCACCAGGGACCTCAGAGCTTCATTCTGTTGATACCAATCTTCAATCTTCTGCCCGTCATCAAGTTGGTCTCCATGAGTGAAAACCACAGTGGTGTATTTCAGAGCTTCCTCAGAGAAATAACTCAGTGTTTCTTTGACTACATCTTCTTCCTGTGACGTGTATCTCTCCACTTTGAGCACCAGCACAAAAGCATGGGGTCCCGGGCCACAGCCTTTGACACAGTTGTACAACTTTTCACCCAGAGAAGTGTTGTTTGGGTCTGTGTCAAAAACACCTGGAGTGTCGAACAGATGAACGGTTTTACCATTAATTATTTTTTTGTGAGACTTGCAAACATCGGACACTGAATTTGGTGAATTTTCAGATTTAAATATTTTTCTTCCAAATATTGTGTTAGCCAGGCTGCTTTTGCCTGATCCAGTCTTTCCCAGCAGAATGATCCTTCTCTCTTCTCCTGAAATTAAGGAAAATCACATTTGAAATGATAACAACAAACAAAACAAAAAACAGAATAATAATATGTATAATCCCTGTGTTTTGAGCCTGATCTGTGAAACAATGATTAATTACATTTGTATCAAAATGTTTATATATAAACAGTGTTTCTCTGCTCACCTGCCATGATATTTTCACAGAGTGTGTACTTTTGTGTATATAACAGTTTAGTAGTTGGACAGAATCCTGATAAAAGAAAAAAAACAAAAGTACCAGAGGCTCAGTTGTAGAGCATTGGCCTTTGAGCCTGAAGGTTCGAGCCCACCTTGAGAACTTCTCCACTGACCCCCACTGATGTCGGCTGTCGTTGTGTCCTTGGGCAAGACACATAATCCCACTTTGCCTGAAGCCTCCGCTAAAAGATCAACGCCATGCTCACACTGACAGAGCAGCCGTCCTCCTGTGGACTCACCTCCTGCAGAGGATCAGTGAGGGGCTGGTGCTCTGTGACTTGGCCTTGAACCAGAAATGGATTATGGGGAAGAAGCATAGACTGTAAAAAATAAATGGACGTAGTCACGCCTATCTCCGCCGTTCTAACTAATGGGCCAAAAATACTGCTCTACTGGAGCTATCCAAAATGGCCGCGAGCGGTCCCGCCCACAAGAACGTATCTGCGCATGCGTCAGCCCGCGTGTGCTCCATTCATTTGAACGAGTGACTTCAAAAATTCACAGCAAGTAAACTAGAGTGGTCCAAAAAATGTCACTCCCCTCAGCATTGACACACATGTGGAACGGAGCTTTGGGCCAAGAGCCAACTTTTGGACCATCCTGTAAAGACGTTTTTGAGAGGTCTGCCGATGCTATATGTTAGCGTTGGCTAATTCTTATTCTGGGTCCACCCCCATCGGCCCGGGGTGGTATTGCAAGCATGTCAGCGCACGTCATTTTAGCCACTTTTGAGCCTGGATCCGCCCCCACTGGGAAGAAGATGGATGGACCAAAAGTACTGTATATTTGACTGTGTGTTGGAAAATATGTACTTCCTGGCTCATTATTGTATGTACTAGATCGTGTGTACCCCTTCCTTACTCTCAGTTATTAACTTGAGGATTTCTGAAGCCGTCTCATTGCTATTTGAAAAGAATCATAAATATAGGAGAACGTACAACCAAAAATCTGATTTTTAAGGCCAAAAACGGTGAGTGACACAAGTTTACTTTTCAATGCAAGTGAATTCTGTGTTTCATTGAAGTGGCTGGTTCATCTATTTACAGTCTATGGCTTATACGTCACATGGATAGCAGTAGGAAACGTGATGAACTATATTTTGCCCTGTCATCCTAAAGTGTGACTACTCGCTGGTCCAGTCCAACCTGAGTCAGCTCGAGGCCTTGTGCAAAGCCTCAGGGGAGCAGCTGTGGGTCCTGGACAAGGCAGATGAGAGGAGGGGGGTGAAGGCCAGAGGGACCAGTGACGGGACCATGAGACCAAAGCTGCAGAGGCTTCTGAAGGAGAGCGATGAGAGGCTGAGAGTGCTGAGGGCCGTGCACCGCAGAGTCATCAACCGGTCAGTTCCAACATCCGCAGGTTGTTAAGGTGTGAAAACTAAAGTAAACTATAGATTCTGCTGTATTACCGGAGAAGAGATTGATCACACTCAACAAGAAGAAATCTGATCCTCCTGCTATTAGGGCCTGGTTCAACATTATTGTATGATTTTGCTCCTGACTTTAAATGTCTGAGTGTCATGTTATAGCAGTTCTATAATGTTGTATATTATGTTGTTGGAAAATACATACAGAAAAAATATGTGAACAATCAAGGCTGCAAAAGATGAACCCCCGATATAGTGAGGGACCATACTTCATGATGGATGGATGGACAAGACTTGTGGATTTTATTAACTGAAATTGAGATTATTATTAGGATTATTATTAGGATTATTGTTGCACATTGTTCATGTAAAGTGGGAGGGGATCAAGTTCTTGTTAAAACATTTTGTTCTGAATATAAAATGTGAATTACAATTACTTTAGTATGACGAGAGTGTGACAGGAGACATTCTCAATTGACTCTCAGTGACTTTTTGAGGTAAATACAATTGAAGATCAAAGCAAAATGATCTTCCAATGGATTTTTGCCATAATTCCCTCTCATATTGATTTTTCCCTATGTAATTAGGAGTTCCCCAGGGATCTGTGCTTGGCCCTCTATGGTTATTCACATGAATCAGTTATTTTGGACGTAAAATATAAAAAAATACACACAAATGCTTATTCTGTGCCTGGTCTTTTATGTTCAAACATTAATCTCCAGGTTCCACTCATTCTTGCTGTTTTTGGGCTACTCTCGATCCATGGTGCGGGACACGCGGCCGGAAGATTTCTGCAAAACCATCAGTGATTTCTCCTTGGAGTTCAGAGCCACGCGTCAAACCATTCTCCACCAGCGAGAAAAAGAGAAGGAAAGAGAGACAAAGGGAACAGGGAGCAGCACCCCAGTGGGACAGAGGAGGAGCCAGACACTCACACAGGTAAATCTATTCCATGTATTAAGTGCTTTTCATTCAATGTGTCTCTGTATGAAAAAAGTTCTGCTTTTCTATCAATGTGCATAATTTACGTTTTTAGATCATTATGCATCGTTTGTAAAAAAAATAAAAAAATAAAAAAATTCCCTGGGGTACCTAATTTTTTCCCCACAAACGTTACTTTTTAATCCCAATAGATTATTAGAAAGTATTATAAAACATTCCTATTTTATATACTTGTTAGAAAGAGCCCTGTGAGTCACTTTTTGACTCTTTGGGCTGAGAGCTGATTTAGTGATTCTGATCTTCTCTTGTTCATCTTTCTGTCTGGAAAAGATGTGACAAAGGCCAAAAAGTACAGTACATGCACCACCGAGTGTGAACAACAGTTATAAACTGTTTTGAACTAGTTGTGTGTGTTTTATTACAGAACATTGTGTTGTAGTTTAGTTAGGTATTATGCCAGCTTTTAACTTTATCTTGAACTTTGTGTTTAATGAATTAAGTTCAGAAGGTTGATTGGGTGGTTTGTGTTTTAAAGAAGAAAACAAAAGTCTATAATCTGCAGTTTTTAATCTGTTTTATTTTTGTCTTTTCTGTAGGACTGCGAAGAGCAATATAAACTTGAGGAAATCCTAAAAACGGCAGAAACTTTGTATCGACTGGACGTGACGCTGCCTCGGAACCGGCGAAGGAAAACCGACGGACAAGGTAACAACGCACAAAGTCTATTATGATTTATTATTTGATTTTAGCGCAAGATTGAGGTATTTTATCAATTTGTAGGAGTTTTCTCACGGAAATTCAAGTGGTGACTCAAACATAGCGACTGCAGCGGTTAGAGCTATTGCTTCTCAACAAGAAGATCCTGGGTTCGACTCCCCGGTGGATGGAACCTTTCCTAGTTGAGTTTGCATGTTCTCCCTGTGTCTGCCAAGGTTTCCACTTGATCTGATCTGATTCTGTCCATTACTATAAACGACCCCGTTCATAGAAGTCAACTGAACAGTGAATGTTTGTGAACGTTCAGACAAAAAAGTGTGAAATTAGTAATGACTAAAGAAATACAAGAAATGTTTACATATTTATCTCCCTAAAGGTATTCAATGTTTCTTTAAAATAAGTAATGGACTAATCCAAGAGGTTTTGTTTGTTTTTAAACAAGAAAAACTAGATCTAATATCAGACAAAAAATGTGAGTCTGTTTTGAAGTAATGTGGATCTTAAAGGTGATGTCTGCAACTTCAAAGATTTGTTTTCTTTGGATTTTAAAAACATATCTTTGACCATTTAAAGTAACAATATGTAAGATTTTCATGTCAAGTAATCATTAAATAGTCCTAATAAAAGGCACTAATAAACCATGATCTTTTCAAATACTTCTTTAACTGATTTGACTTTTGCGGAAGTGGCGAAAGTCAAATCTCAAAGTTGACCATGAGATCTTCAAAGATGCGTTGTGCAATTTTAACAGGGAACTACGTAGAACGAGGGAAATGTACTTTTCTGAAACTATTGAAGGCTGTAGCAACAATCTACGTGTTCTGTTTTCAACAGTAAATAGATTGACGAATCCCCCTGTTAAGATGCCATCAGAACTTACTTCCAAATCTAAATGTAATGAGTTTGCTCAGTTCTTTAATGACAAAGTCCAAGGTATCAAAAACGCCATCACCTCCACGATAGAAATAATAATCCAACCGCCAGTGAGGCTTTTTGGGCTGACGCACTTTACACCAGTACAAATTGAAACTGTCCAGGAGATAATCACTAGTCTGAGTTCCTCCACATGCAGCCTGGATGTATTACCTCCTAGATTTCTCAAGTCAGTTCTGAGCAGTCTTTTACCTTCAATTACACAAATAGTTAATATGTCTCTTGAATCTGGAACATTCCCAATGGCCTTGAAAACGGCGGTCATCAGGCCCCTCCTAAAAAAGAGGAGTCTGGAAGCCCTGGCACTCAAAAATTATCGGCCCATTTCAAATCTGCCTTTCATGGGAAAAATTCTAGAAAAAGTTGCCTATAAACAACTTACAGAATTTTTAATAATCAATAACGCTTATGATATGTTCCAGTCAGGGTTTAGACCCCACCACAGCACTGAGACCGCGCTAATAAAGGTAACAAATGACATCAAACTAAACACTGACGCAGGAAAAGTCTCAGTCCTTTTTCTGTTAGATTTAAGTGCTGCTTTTGACACTATTGATCATGGCATCCTCATTCAGAGACTTGAGGACTGGGTTGGTGTTGCTGGCACCGCCCTAAGCTGGTTTAGGTCCTATTTACAAGACAGAAAGTTTTTTGTGGAGATCGAAAACTGTACCTCAGACCACTTGGCCCTGACCTGCGGAGTGCCACAGGGGTCAATCCTGGGTCCTCTTCTGTTTAATATTTACATGTTGCCTCTAGGTCAGTTGATTCACAGTAATAATGTCTCTTATCACAATTACGCTGACGATACTCAGGTCTATGTGTCCCTGACAGCAGGAGAGCATGAACCAGTGGACTCGCTCCTTCACTGTGTCCAGCAAATCGGTGATTGGATGCAAAATAACTTTCTCCAACTAAACACCGACAAAACTGAAATAATTGTTTTCGGACCCCAGAAACAAAGAGAGAGCGTTATTTGTCACCTCCAGGCTCTCTCTCTACAACCCTCAAATCAGGTCAGAAATCTAGGAGTGATAATGGACTTAAATTTCAAAAGCCACATAAAATCTGTAACATCAGCAGCTTATTACCACCTAAAAAACATTGCTAAAATTAAAAACATAGTGTCTAAGGCAGACTTGGAGACTCTTATACACGCTTTTGTCTCCAGTCGGTTAGACTATTGCAATGGCTTGTTCACAGGTCTCTCCAAACAGGCTGTAAAACAGCTGCAGTACATTCAACATGCAGCAGCTCGAGTCCTGACCAGAACCAGGAAGTGCGACCACATTAGTCCAGTTCTCAGGTCTCTGCACTGGCTTCCTGTTCCTCAGAGAATAGACTTCAAGGCAGCTTTACTTGTGTACAAGTCTCTCCATGGTCTCGCGCCAAGGTACATCCACGACATGTTTGTGCCATATGAACCGACCCGGACTCTGAGGAGCACAGGGACTGGACTCCTGTTAGTGCCCAGAGTCGGTACTAGACATGGGCAAACTGCATTTCAGATTCATGCGGCTAGAGTCTGGAACCGTCTTCCTGAGAATGTGAGACAGGCGTCTACTCTGGCATCTTTTAAATCTAGGCTCAAAACAATTCTGTTTAGCTGCGCATATACAACTGAATGATTTTATCTTTTCATCTTTGTTTTTATCTTTAATCTTTTTAATGCACTGTGACTATTTATGATTTTAGTCCCATCTGTGATTTTAATGTTTAAAGGTTTTTAATTTTTGTGATTTTATTTTTAATGTTTTTAATATATCTTGTGCTCTTAATGTGTTTGATTTATGCATGATGTGATAGGGGATGTGAAGCGCTTTGCGTTGCCTTGTGTAGGAAAGGCGCTCTACAAATAAACGTTGATTGATTGATTGATTGATAAAAGTAATTAAACCGAGATATGCTAATTTCAAAATTAGTTTTACAGCCCCTAAATCTTGTTATTGTTTTCATTTCAATGTCGCGTCCTCCACCGTTTCACCAATCAGAAAGGCTGTGATCCAGGCGCCAGAACTCACTGCGTCGAGCTAATGACTAATGGTAAAGTAACATGTGGCCGCAAAAATAAAAATAAAGGTCTTTTTATGTTTCTCAAATCAATAATGACAAAACAAGGATTTCAATCAGGGATGCCATCCATCCATCCATCCATCCATTTTCTTCCGCTTTATCCGTTGCCGGGTCGCGGGGGCAGCAGTCTAAGCAGAGACGCCCAGACTTCCCTATCCACACACACTTCCTCCAGCTCGTCCGGGGGGACCCCAAGGCGTTCCCAGGCCAGCTGAGAGACATAGTCCCTCCAGCGTGTCCTAGGTCTTCCGCGGGGCCTCCTCCCGGTGGGACGTGCCCGGAACACCTCCCCAGGGAGGCGTCCAGGGGAGGTGTTCCGGGCACGTCCCCAAAGACAAAGAGCAGTCCAGAAGACACCATGGACAGCACTTATATGATATCAGTGACGTCGCCCGGCATGGCGCAGCCGGGGCCCCACCCTGGAGCCAGGCCTGGGGTCGGGGCTCGTATGCGAGCGCCTGGTGGCCGGGCCTTAGCCCACGGGGCCCGGCCGGGCTCAGCCCGAATGGACGACGTGGGCAGTCCCTCCTGTGGGCCCACCACCCGCAGAGGGGTCCGTGGTGGCGATGCGGTGCAGAGAGGACTGGGCAGCGGTCGAAGGCGGAGACCTCGGCGACCCAGTCCGCACACACAATCAGGGATGCCTTTCTGAAAAAGGTGTTGGTTATACATTTGTTGTTGAAAAAACTCTATTCAGATTATGGTCCCAGCTGGAGTCGTCCGCAGATCTGGCAACCTGAGTCAGGCAGAGTGGGATACATTTAAAGCAGTCCCTCCCCTTGGCAAGAATCAACACCAGTCATATTTTCTTGAGAAGAATATTAGACCAATGGTGAGGGGGCTCAGTTGTTTAACGTCTAATAAAGTTAGCTTTAATGATCCGTTAAAGTTAGCTAACACATTATTAACTTAATTATTAAACATGAAATGATTGATGCATGGAAATTGTTGCTATAAAAAATCCATTAATAATGAAATAGGTTGTTTAAGCAACAATGTTTTTTGAGTTGTAAATCTGGATGTAATATGTATTTATTTGTTGTGTTTTAATAGTTATTTGTGTGTGTCCAGTTTTTCTAATGCTGATTTATTTTGTGGAAATTCAAGAACCCAATGCTAAAAAACAATCAAAATAGTTTTTTTTAAACTATTTGTTGTCTCAGACTTTTTACCACATCTACTTTCTTTATATAAATGAGTTTGTATAAACCAGCAATAACAAAACATAAAGCTAGTGAAATTGGATCAGGCATTTTACAAAAGTCTCAGGACCTCACAGAGTCAAGGTCCACGGTTCAATTCAAAATGAGAATATAATATTTTGAATAGTCTGTACTATTTTGTAAACTTTAGTACTTTTCTAACACTGAAAACAGTAAAACCTATGAAAGCTTAATGGCTCGAATCTTGTGGTTTTTATCTTCATTTGTTTACATTCTGACGATCTTAAAGCAAGATTTGCCGATGACCATTTAATCTTATTTCAAGAACTGTTGGTTTATTTTCTCATTCCAAGGGAGACATTTCTTGCATCTTTTTAAATCAAGGTAATTTTGCTCATCGTCCCATTGGTAAATCTTGTTTTATGTATTGGAAAATACACAGCACACTCGGATAGATGTCCAAAAGTCTAGTATTTATTACGTTTCGGCCTTAGCCTTCGTCAGATCATTTTTATCTTATTCATTTGGATCACAATATACAAAATGGTGCCAACCCAGGTGCTATAAGCCCCTTCTAACGAGTGGGAGGTCCCAGTGTGGTGACACCCAGTGAATTCAGCCAGTCTAAAATCAAAAAGCAGAATTAATACATAGAAGAAATCAACTTATAAAATGTATACAGATAATCATAAGAAACATCTGAGGTCAAAGTCCACATTTAGTCCATAAGGAGCTAAAGTCTTTAAGTGATGGATCCAAAAGTGCTCTCTTTTAGACAAAAGCACTTCCAGGTTTCCACCTCTTGGGGGTAGCGTTACATGTTCAATACCAATATATCTTAATGAAGAGATTGGATGATTGAATTCTATAAAATGAGCTGCTACAGGGTAATTTAAGTTTTTGCATCTGATAGTGCTTCTATGTTCTGCAATACGTGTTTTTAAAGCCCTGCTGGTTTTTCCTACATAGGCTTTACCACAAGGACAAGTGATCATGTAAATAACAGATTTTGTATTGCAGGATATAATTCCTTTGATGGGTATAACTTTACCAGTGTGGGGATGCTTGAAATTGGTGCACCGATAGGTGTAATTGCACTGACTACATCCACCACACCGGCGATTGCCATCAGGGATAGGAGTCAGGATAGTTTGGCCTGTAGTGGTTGGATTTGGGGGAAGATAGGAATGTACAAGTCTATCCCTCAAGTTTCTTCCTCTTTTGTAGACCACCAGGGGCTGCTCTTTAAAAGCTCCCCCCAAGGCTGAATCAGTCTGTAGTATATGCCAGTGTTTTGATATAATCTTTTTGAACTGTTCAGCAGGTTTAGAATAAACAGTAGAGAATATAGTCCGTTTTGAGGCCGTTTTTGGGGGATTTACCCTAAGAAAATCAGATCTTGGCTTACCCTTGATTTTTGTGGCAGCGTCATTCAGAACAGTTTTTTTTATATCCTCTTTGCTCAAAGTTTGTCATCATGTTGCCTAGATTTCTTTCAAAGTCTTCATTATTGTGGCATATTCTCCTAAGCCTACAAAATTGGCTGTATGGGAGACTATTTTTCAGTGGAAGTGGATGGTTGGAGTCGGCTCTAAGTAATGAGTTTCTTGCTGTAGGCTTTTTGTATAAGTCCGTATACAGCTGATTCTCCCCTCTAATAATCCATAAATCCAGAAAACTCAAGTGCGCTTGATCAAAGTCCATGGAGAATGATATAAATGAGCAGCAGGAGTTCAAATATGTAAAAAACGCTTCAAGTCTTTGTTTTGTACCCTTGAATAAGCAAAATACATCATCCAAATATCTCTTCCACATGCACACATTTTGTTTGAATTCATAGTCACAGTAAATGAACTTTTCCTCAAATAGGCCCATATACAGGTTACAGAAGGATGGTGAAAATGGGCTACCCATAGGTACTCCATGTTTCTGGATATAAAAGGTATCTTGGAAAACCCAATAGTTGTTGTTTAGTATTAACCATGCCATATCCAAAATGGAGTTTATAGAGGGTACCTCAATATTTGTTTTTGAGACATAATGCTTCATAGCCTCAATACCTCCATCATGTGGTATGGAAGTGTACATAGCATTTATATCAAAAGAGACCAAGTACCATTCATCTTCGCTGGACATAAAATCTACAGATTCAATCATGTTTATTATATGCCCTGTGTCCTTAATGAAAGAAGGCAATGTCTCAACGGCAGGTCTTATAATGCTATCCATAAGAATGGATAGGTTAGATGTTAGAGAGCCTATACTGGCTACAATAGGTCTACCTGGTGGATTTACAAGGCTTTTGTGTATTTTAGGTAATGTATAAAAAGTGGCGACCACTGGATGGTCCACTTTTAAAAATTCATATTCATTTTCTGAGATTTCCCCATTCTGTAACAGGATGTTTAGTGCTTCATGGATGGAGTTTTTAAAATCCTCCGTGAGGTCCCTTGGATTATGAATGACATAAATCTTGTTTTATGTCATTCATAATGCACTCATTTTGCCAAATTTGAGAAATTTTTGATTAATTATATTCATCACCTTTTGCAGTGTACCACATTCTACCTGATTTTGAAAGAGTTAAAACTTGCTTTTACCGACTCTAATGGCATCAGTGCTTTAGAGATTATTCACCCGCAAACACCAAATGTACTAGATTTGATGCCAAATAAAACTATTGTGTTCCCTTAAGTTGCATTATTCTTTTCAATGACACGTTTCGGCTTTCACAGTGGCTATTTATAGTGGATTCACCAGTCCAGTCAATTTTATTCTGAAGTTGAAGTTTATTTGATACAATCTAAGGTGAAGTTATGGGAGATAGACTTGAGATGCTAAAGCAGAATTTCTGGCTTCCCATAAATGTTTCCCTGATTTTTTGTGTGTGTGTTATTGGTCTTAGTGGTCTATCTGAAAGGGGCTGCAAAATATGTCAGTTTAACATTAACTTTATGAAAAAACAAAGTAAAATGTTCAGTATTCAAATCCAAAATACACTGACTGTCACATTTAGGGTTTCTCTTTCTTAAGAAAGGGTGTGTCAATCTTTAGACAGAACATTTCCACATGTCTGGGCTGGGCTCTGGTATGAAAACATTCTACGTGCCAGGTCAGTGAAAGGTGGTTATTTCCCGATTGAAAATTGAGAGTATTTCAGATGAATAAAGGAGTTTTTAATATTGTTGTGTTTTTCTGAAAATGCAAGTCTGATATGAAGTGCTTCTGAGCTTTTCACTCTGACCCTACTACCCGGGCTGGGGTCATGTGGGCGGAGCTACAGATTCAGATTCAGATTCATTTTTATTTTTATTTATTTGCAGTAAAACCACATTGGAAAAACTGTGCAAGACTACCCCGGTGTGCGCCAGACAGAGACGACACACACCAGAGCTCTTGCCACGGCGCCATCTTTTCCGGCGCCATGCGACAAACAGTAGAATAAACAGCAGAGAGCAATAACATACAGGTTACAACAGACAGTTGGATAGAAAACATTGTGCTTTGTATAAACCACGGATCTTTTTTCGGGATGAGCGCCTTCTGCAGCCGGTGGCTGTCAGAGGGGGGCGGGGTCAGGGAGGGGGTGAGTCGGAAACACAGTGAGGAGTGGAGGGGAGGGAGAGATCAGAGGGAGGCGGGGGGAGCGGGATCCAAGCTGGAACTGACTGAAAGAGTGTGAAATTGTTGTAGAGTCCAGATTTATTATGATGGCCTTGGCCCGAGGAATGTGAGATAAGAGAGGAGGGAAGACACAGCAAGGAGAAAAACACATCTTCCTGATCGAGGGACAATATTGTATGCATTTTAGCAGTCAAAAACAGGCAGATATTCTATTAAATCCAATTAAACCGAATTGCGGCGCCCTCAGACCCCGTACACAGGGGCCAATCCAAGCCGGGTCAGAGAGTTCAAGCGTGACACACAATGTCATTCAATCTCAATTCCAGAGTTTTATGCCCATCAAGTGAACGAGCTGCGAGATCTCTGATCAACTGTTCCACTAACACCACTCTTCTTTGTCCAGCCACAGCGCTCTCAACCACGACTCGGTTAAGCTCCTTGTACATCCCATCAATTTTGTTGGCAAGCAGGTCGTGAATCTTGCGAACTGCCATGCCTCCGAATTTATGGTAGAATAGAACCGCTCCAAGCCCAAACAGGAGGATTCCCACCACCAAAAAGCCAAAGATATATACGTCTTCCGAATCTTCAATGGACAGGGTCGACAGACAGAGGGGCTGCCACTTGTTCCAGCTGTCAAGCGTATAACCCGCTGGTGAAGTCCCGTCCGGGCACTCGGGCTCTCCAGACCCGCGCTTACGTGTTGAAAAGATAGAATCAAGTCCTGATTGGCTGCTGTGTTGTGCACTGGGTGCAACTTTGATAGATCAATCTATCAGGAGAAAAGGATGTTTATTTTGTTGAAGAGTGAATCGTCATATTGCATCTCATTTCATTCCAGTGATAGGCGTGTAGAAAAACTATATTCACTCTTATCCCTTCAAACAATCGCCCTGTTCTGTGCACAAAAACAGTGAAACTGTGAAACAAGTGTTACTCCTGTGTCCTTTACACTCTTAAAAAAAATGCAGTAGCAAAACTTTTAAAAATTGAGGCAGCAATTTGCATGCATCTTTTTAGTAGTAAGTCTTTTATCAATGGTCCAGCACAATTTTAACAATACCACCAACTTCAATAATTACATTGAAAATACGTAGATCTTTTTGAGTTTATTCAGCGAGTGATTTCTTCCCTGTAATTTCATGTTTATATTTAAATCCACAATTTAAGGACAGGAATAATACCAAAACGTTTAACATTCATTATGATGAGGAAGTCTGCTTTTGATCCACTAGAACAATTTATTTTCCCCTTAGTTCAACATTTCAGTTCAACATTTCAGTTCAACATTTCACATGCATGAGTCAGTAGACACTGCTGCTGTTTGTCATGTATGTATCATTAGACCTTAGACATCCATCCATTTTTTATTATTGTTGGAAGAACATTTTCAAAGATAATTTTATTAGGTTATTATTGTCTATATGTCAAACTGCTTATTCAACAAATAAATGTGTTATTCCTGTGTATGTCCTCGCTCTTGTTCCAGTATTTATTATCAAACACGTGACAGCGGCCTCCACACTTCTGCACCAGGGACCTCAGAGCTTCATTCTGTTGATACCAATCTTCTTCTGCCCGTCATCAAGCTGGTCTCCATGAGTGAAAACCACAGTGGTGTATTTCAGAGCTTCCTCAGAGAAATAACTCAGTGTTTCTTTGACCACCTCCTCCTCCTGTGACGTGTATCTCTCCACTTTGAGCACCAGCAAAAGAGCATGGGGCCCCAGGACACAGCCTTTGACACAATTGTACAACTTTTCACCCAGAGCAGTGTTGTTTGGGTCTGTGTCAAAAACACCTGGAGTGTCGAACACACAAACGGTTTTACCATTACTTATTTTTTCGTCAGACTTGCAAACATCGGACACTGATTTTGGTGAATTTTGCTTCCAAATATTGTTTTAGCCAGGCTGCTTTTGCCTGATCCAGTCTTTCCCAGCAGAATGGTTCTTCTCCCTTCTCCTGAAATTATTGAAATTCACATTTAAATATATAGCAAGAAACAAAAAAAACAAAAAAGAATAACAGAACAATAATATGTAAAATGTTAAATATATTTGTATCAAAATAATATATATGTATTAACAGTGTTTCTCTGCTCACCTGCCATGATGTGTCTTCAGTATGAGTTCAGTTGCTGTGTGCTCTGCCCCTTCTTTGTTCTGTTCTTATTTGGGTGTGAACTTCAGTAACATCAGGTTATTATTAGTTTAATACGTCAACTGTCATTTCAAAACTTTCACTTTCTATTTCACAGAAACTGACGGTGGTTTCCCAGCAGTGCCATATTTTCACAGAGTGTGTACTTTTGTGTATATAACAGTTTAGTAGTTGGACAGAATCCTGATAAAAGAAAAAAAAAAAAAAGTACCAGAGGCTCAGTTGGTAGAGCATTGGCCTTTGAGCCTAAGGTCATGGGTTCGAGGCCACCTTTAGAACTTCTCCACTGAGCCCCACTGATGTCGGCTGTCGTTGTGTCCTTGGGCAAGACACATAGCCCCACTTTGCCTGAAGCCTCCGCTAAAAGGAGCCACCGTGCCTCCGCTAAAAGCCACCTAGCGGCACGGTGGCTGAGTGGATAGCACTCTCGCCTCTCAGCAAGAAGGTCCTGGGTTCGAATCCCGGCCGGACCAGGGCCTTTCTGAGTGGAGTTTGCATGTTCTCCCTGTGTCTGCGTAGGTTTCCTCTACCACTAAAAATATGTACAATAGGTCTGGCATGCGCCTCCTGTTCGGCGACCCCGCTCAAGTGCCCAAAAAATAACAATTGTAAACCGCTTTGTGACTCTGGTCTGTGAAAGGCGGTATATAAATAAAGCTTACTTACTAAAAGGTCAAGGCCATGCTCACACTGACAGAGCAGCCGTCCTCCTGTGGACTCACCTCCTGCAGAGGATCAGTGAGGGGCTGGTGCTCTGTGACTTGGCCCTGAACCAGAAATAGATTATGGGGAAGATGGATGGACCAAAAGTACTGTATATTTGACTGTGTGTTGGAAAATATGTACTTCCTGGCTCATTATTGTATGTACTAGATCGCGTGCACCTCTTCCTAACACTCAGTTATTAACTTGAGGATTTCAGAAGTTTTCTCATTGCTATTTGGAAACAATCATAAATACAGGAGAACGTACAATCAATGTAATATAATCTCATTAAATAATCTAAACAATCACTATATTTACTTACTGTTGATGTTGAACTTTAAATAAACAAATTGAACAACAAATGAAGATTATTAAATATTTAAACAAATCCCTGAAGACACATTTTCATAAAGGCAATCTTTTTTTATTGTACACGTGGACAGTGAATAATGATCACGTTGAAACCTTTTGCATCAACTGTTTCTTCACAATGACAATACAACATTGTTTGTACAAGATTCCATCATTCAAACACATTTAACATTTGTATCATTAAAAATCAAGCTAAAATTAGAATCTGTATTTCTGCCATTTTATGAGTTAATGGCAAAAATAGAAAATAATGTCTTGATTTGGTCATTTAGAGATATGGACACCTATAATGAAAGAGACTAATGCACATTTTTCCTCAGGATCAATAATCTGTCAAGCACAAATCATTTGAACTGAAATCCAAGCTGTGGAGACATTCAATACATTTCCCCTAAAACATTCCATACAATATTTTACTTATTTTTTTTCGCCAAAGATGCGATTTTTTTCCAGTGTCTGCTCTGCACCTGCCGTCTTCCTCCTCACATCACGCACTGCACTCGTGGCCAGTTTCTTTGTTTTATTTAGTTCAACATCAGTATCACTCCTGCCTCCACTGCAGCTTTTACAGCGACCACTATGCCAGCACCAACAGCACCAACAGCACCAACAGCAGCAGCACCAGCAGCACCAACAGCACCAACAGCACCAACAGCACCAACAGCAGCAGCAGCACCAGCAGCACCAACAGCACCAACAGCACCAGCAGCACCAGCACCAGCAGTTCCAGGAGCAGCAGCAGCAGCACCACCAGCAGCAGTAACAACTCCTCCATCCACTACCACACCCAGCATTCTTAACAGAATGTGTCTTAACAGGACGCCTTTTATTCTCATGTATTTGATATCTTGCCAGAAGCCATTGGTGTAGCAGCCTCCTCTGTTCTTCTCCACAGTGTGTTCAATGGTCTGCAGCAGCTGTTTGATCTGATATGTGTTGTTCCTGTATGGATCCTTGCTGTTGTTCCAGTATTTATTATCAAACACGTGACAGCGACCTCCACACTTCTGCACCAGGGACCTCAGAGCTTCATTCTCTTGATACCAATCTTCAATCTTCTGCCCGTCCTCAAGTTGTTCTCCATGAGTGAAAACCACAGTGGTGTATTTCAGAGCTTCCTCAGAGAAATAATGTTGTATTTTACTGACCACATCTTTCTCCTCCTTTGTGAACCTGTCCACTCTGAGCACCAGCACAAAAGCATGGGGCCCCGGGGCACAGTCTTCAATACAATCGTACAACTCTTCACCCAGAGCAGTGCTTTTTGGGTCTGTGTCAAAAACTCCTGGAGTGTCGAACACACGAACGGTTTTGTCCCCGATCTTCTTTTCACCGGGCGTATAGGTACGGGTCACTAAGTTTGGGGAACTTTTTGATGTAAATTTTTTGTTTCCAAGTATAGTGTTGCCAAAGCTGCTTTTGCCTGATCCAGTTTTTCCCAGAAGCATGAGTCTCAGTTCTTGCCCTGAAATCATAATTATATCCCACATGACTTAACTGATTTCTCTAATGGGCTGGTGTGGCTGCAGGTTTTAATGCCAACCTGAGCAGAAAAACACCAGACTCCACCCATTTCCTCAAATCTTCAGGTAAACTGGACTCACCTGAGGAAATGGGTGGAGTTTGCTCAGGTTGGAGCTAAAACCTGCAGCCACACTGGCCCTTTGAGAACTGGTTTGATACCAGCATAGTTACATTTCTAAGTGATGCATTTTCCTTGAGGGACCTAACCACCATCGGAAATATTTATAGACGTTTCATTCAGTCAAGATAAGGAATAATAAAAGGGAATGTTAAAACCTATAGAGGAAATTATGTAACAAATAGAATTCCTCTCTGTGTGATTAACCGCATAAGAAAACACAGTCATAATCTGACAGTTATATTGATAAAACAATCAAAGTCTCATATATGAGACACACTTTGATTCAGGAGATCCCAATATACAATGTTACTGTCTTTTCCCCACGTGAACAACTTTCTTCTTTAGAATTTATGGATTATCTGAGATTAGATCTAAACTCTTGACTGGATTTAGCTATGTTTTACATTTCATAACCGCTATTGTGTCTGTTTGGACAGACACAAAAGCAGAGCAGATCAAAAGATTCCATTTTAGATCTCATCATTAGGTCTACATGCAGTGTTTTGAAACATTCAATTCACATTTTTGACACAAACTGTCACTAGAGTAAAGTAACAATATTTAAGGTCTATCGTGTAAAAATGTAAGTGACAACAAGTGAGGAAAATAAAATAAATGGACTTTGCTTCGAGCTTATCTCTGTTTCTCTTGTCGTACATATCGGGTTATGCTGCTTTTTTAACTTGTTTTTTTTTTTCTAGATCTTTAAAGATTTATTTTTGCACAATCAATATGTGAACATTTGATGTGCAAACAATCTTTCAGGAAGTGAAATGATATGTTGATAATGATATTTTTGTACAAATATAGATTTACCAAATTACATTTCTGAACTTACCTTCCATGGTCGTAGTTTCAGTCCGAGGTCTTTAATGGCTTTAGATACAGATTTTTTTGTTCCCTGACAATACCAATGAAACGTTCTGTCTCGTTGTGGTGTTGAAAGTGAAAGCAAAGACTTCGGAGAACAGAGGAGTTCTCCAAACCACGCCCTCCCCCTGCCTCCACTGCTCAGCAAAAACACACTGCTTCTTTTTTCTTTCTCAGCTAGAATTTAATTTTTTATAAAAATAAATTAAAAGACAAAATTGTTAATTGATAATCTTATAATCTTGTTTAACAACAGTCAAAATATATTCAAATCACTCAAGAAAGTGTCACTACAACATACTAAAAAATACAGGTATATTATTCTGGGCCATATTCTGTTCTAGTGAAGTCTACACCAACCTGTCTGAGCCATGGAAGAAAACAAAACACTGCAGTCTTTACTATAATGCAAAGTCATTCTGATCAAAGTGTTTTATTTAGAAAATCAAACAAGTGAGCCGCCCCACTGTGTGCTCGAGAGGTCTCTGATCCCACTCCTAACCAGGCCCTCCCTTGCTTAGCTTCTGAGGTCTGCTGAGATCATGATTTTCTACCATAATAGTCATTGCTCTATTAATGTTCCTTCATGTTTTTTATTTTGACTGTTATTAACATTTTTAAATTAATACCATCAGTTATAATTTGTATATACATATATTATTATATTATCATCTATATAAATCATGTTGTGACAAAATGTACTTTTTTTATGGCAGATTTTAGATGCACAAATCTGAAATGTGCATCTTTTAGGCCTGTCCCAATTCTCACCCTTGCCCTTAAAAAGCACCCTTGTGTAACACGGGTGAAAAATCCTGTAGGAGTGATACCTCGATTTACAATACTGATCTTTGTGTTCCCCCCTGCGTGCGCGTCTCGTGACCGGAGCTGGCCAATCAGCCGGTTATATTCTCCCTAACCAGGAAGCACATGGGTGCGAGTGGACACTGCCGCTGTAGCGCGAATTCTGAAACGTTGGTCGTGAGTTAAGGGGAAAACCCAAATTAAAACCAAACTATAAAGCCTAGTGTATACTTGCGCGGCGTGGCTTACGTTAGCGGTTGCGGTGGACCTACGTAAGCACAATTGATGTTATACTGGCGCGTTCCCCTTACGGAGTTTTGAGGAGAATGTTGTAATCCCACAACAAACCACATGAGGGCGATCACACAGGAGCGGTCCCATTTATGCTGCTACTTTGTCCTCTTCAGAACAACAATAGCAAACAAAGCTGTTTGAGCTCATTACACGTGTTTCTACTGTAGGTTTATGTGATAGTTTTATGGATTCATTATTTTATAAGTCATTTCAACTGTGATGCTGTGAATAAAGATACAGTTCTTGTTGGAAACATAGTTATTATTAAATAGTTTTCAGCACAAACAGCAAAACAATAATAGTGGTAAATATCTGAGACAAACATAAACGATTTACGAGTGCAGGAGGAAAGCAACAAACGCAGCTACGATTCAAACAAAGACAGGAACAGTGCAAAACAAACGACTGCACAGTTTATAAGTTATATATATATGTTAGATATAAGTTATATATATGTTAGATAGTCCACAGTCTCCTGTATATCAGGCTCTGAGCCCAAACTGCTTTTCCTTCGAAGCACAAAGCTCTCTGCTCCATAGTGCCTCGTCCATTGTCCCTGCTGCAGCCGCTCCATGCTTCCTTCCAATACACACACACGGACCAATCACAGCGGAGCTTCCTTGCGGGGACCCTTACGTAGTTAGAACATTTCGATGCTGCGCGGCAGGCGACGTAAGGGCCTTGCGGTGACCAACGCGTTGCGCAAGTGACGTCACGTCACCTCCGTAAGCTCCGCGCCGCGCAAGTATAACTTAGGCTTAAGTCTGTTTGAGAGAGCCCCTAGCACACTCCTGAAGATTGCGTGTGATCACGCTATGGCAGGGTTGGGGGGGGAGTTGGGGTCGGGTGAAGGGAGTATGGACGAAGGGGGACGCACGGAGGCTAATTTTCGAAGGAAGAGGGGACTAAGTCAGGGTAGCGGGTCAGAAGACGCGACTGAGCGAGTGGTGAGGAGGAAAATAGATCAGGAAGGGTTTAAAGTGCTGGTAAAGTTCAAAGAGGGCCATGATATTAAGTCAGTGAGGCCTGTTGCTCTCACTAAGTATCTGCGGGAGAAAGTGGGTGAGGTAATTAGCACTAGGAGCGCCCCTAGCGGTCAACTGACCGTCACTCACTTTAATATGCTAATTAGTGTATTCAAAACAAAACGCCAGAAGTTGAAATTTTATGACTTTTACTGGGTACTTGTTGTTTATATTTTGGTGTGTATTGGTTTTGGAAAAAGTAAAGAAAACAAGATTTACACGCATTTTAACTTTTCTAAACCACAGCCCTTTCTGCTGCCCCATAGGGATACATGGCGCAGGGGCGACTGTTGTCATAGAAACCTTTCCCGGGGGTTTTTTGCGCCTTATAAAAAGGTATCAATATGTTGTCATTAGACTCTAAAGGGACTTGAGTTTTTTTTTTATTATTATTTGGGAGAGAGAAAGAGTTTTGAATTGAGAGGAGTACAGAATGAATAGAGCTGCAAGTACAAGGTATGAAGCCCTGACAGTGCTTCAAGACATTGAATAAGAACAGTCTGACGGAGGTGAGATGTCACATTTTGAGGTGGAAAGTGACAGCGGGGAGAACACCTATAATATTCTAAATCTGAACGTAAACCCATAGTGCATTCACGGCACGGACAGCAGTGTTGGAACAAGTCCAGAAGCAATAACGCACGACCCGCGTAATGCCAGCCATACGCAGGTGTCTGTGTGCGCGCTGTCGCTCCATTCTGCCTTTTCATTCATCATCAATTACATTATTATATTTATACATAGAAGAAGGCAATAAAGCAGAATACAATATCGCAATAAAATAGAACAATTAGATGAACTATCAAGGCAGAGTGCAGATAGAGCGCTGTGAGGCCTCCCGTCACCCGCGGACACCTGCAGGAGGAGAGCGGCTGTGGGGCAGAAGCGGCCCTCATCATATCAATAAGGATATCATTCTTATTCTTATTCTGCACAGCGCGCACTGATTATACTTTTGTTCTGATCATAAAGAGCACTGCTTGTCTCAAATAAATACAAATATATATATATTTGTCTTTCTAACGTGTCCCGTGTAAAATTGATGATTTTACATTGATGATGGTAGCCTAGCCTGATTATCTTGTGTCAATACAAAAACTATTATTATTATCTAGATAATATTTCCCACGGGGATTTCGGCTGGAAAGAGAAAACAGTCTGGAGATGACGTAAGAAGTCGACGCATATAGCAGCGCGAAGACGTTATTGTCCCGTGCTTTTCTAAACTATCATTTATATTGTTTGAATTTACATATTGTTACTGAGTCAAATTTAACATATAGTGACCAACCTTTTAGGTGTTTGCAAAGTTACAAAATAAATCTAGCCTGAAAAGTCATCGTAATTTTGATGGATCAGTACACGCACAATGTGTCGTCTTAGCCTTTTATTTCGGCTAGAATTACAATTACTTAGCATATTTAGACAAATAATTTACACAGTTTCATTATGATCACGATTTCCTAGCAACATCAAGTTCTGGTTTAGTGAACAATCAATTTGGCAAAAGGCTGTATCAGCGCAAAAAACATAGCGGTCAACTGACCGCAGGGGGCGGTGCAAGGTATGTTTAGAGCACGGCGTTCCTAGTGTTAGAGCTAGAGTACAGTCAGATGGTGATCTGATTATAGTGCGTAAAGATGAGCGCCAGCAGGTGAAAGCATTAAAACTGAAGAGTGTTTGCAAAAAAGAAGTTTTGGAGGTGAAGGAAAGAACGGCGGCAGGAGGGGTGAGTAGGGGAGTCATTTATGGTATCCCTGTAAATGAGGATCTGGGAAAGCTGAAGGAGGGCATTGAGGGAGGGCGTGCGGTTAGCCTGAAGAGGCTCAAAGCGTGGAGGGCTGGAGAGAAGGTTGACAGTCTGTCAGTACTGGTGGAGTTCCAAGGGGAAGTGCTGCCTAGATATATCACTGTTGGATATATGAACTACAATGTCAGGATGTATGAGCCCCCTCCATTGAGGTGTTTTAAATGCCAGAAGTATGGGCATATAGCGGCTTACTGCAAAGGCACACAAGCATGTGGGAGATGTGGAGGAGAACACGACTATGGTGCGTGTGGAACAGGGGTGCGAGAGAAGCGCGTCAATTGTGGGGGAGCGCACAGTGTTGGGTACAGGGAGTGTGAAGCCAGGAAGAGAGCGGTTGAAATCCAGCGTGTTAGGGCCAAAGGAAAGGTCTCGTATGCTGAGGCAGTTAAGAGGGTGCAAGCAGAGTCAAATTTTGAGAGACAGCCAGCAAGAGGCGGAAAGCCCTCAGATGGTGATGGAGAAATCCTGATTGTTAAAAAGAAGGAGTTTCTGTGCTTTATGGTGGAAGTTATAAATTGTACGGCACAAGCAAAGCACAGGGCTGAGAAAATTGCCATTGTGGTAAAAAGTGCGGCTAGGTATTTAGGTATTACGAATATCACGGTGGAGAGTATTTATGAAGAGCTTCAGAACAGAGAACCAACTGAGCTGCCAGCATCCTTGCTGCAGCCGTTGGTGTCGGGGCCTGCGTCAATTGCACAAGGTAAAACCTAAAAAACAAAAAACACAAACATTTATTTTTTACAGTGGAATGCCAGAAGCTTGGTGGCAAATGGGCAGGAGTTTAAGAGGTTAATCTCCAAATTAGAGGATAGGCCCGAGGTTATCTGCGTTGTCGAGACATGGCTGAAACCTCAGTTGAGGTTTGTTTTAAAAGGGTATGTGTGTGAGCGAAGTGATAGTAGTGGGGGTGGGTGTGCAACTTTTATTAAGGTGGGGGTTCCCTACAGAGTTTTAGGTAAGGGTGAAGAATTAGAGTATTTGGTAACTGAGGTTTGGTGTGAGAAGAGTAGTTTAGTTGTTGTAAATTTTTATAATCCCTGTAAAAGGCTTGATATAGATGCATTAGAGCTGGTTGAAGGGCAAGAAGGGGGTAAAATAATATGGCTCGGTGACTTTAACGCACATAGCTCCTTGTGGGGAGGGGATAGAACGGATCACAATGGGTTGGTTTTAGAAGAGCTTATGGATAGGAAAGGGCTGGTGTGTTTAAATGATGGGTCGCCTACGCGTATTGGGATGAATGTGCAGTCCGTGCTGGATCTGACGTTTGTGTCTCAGTCTCTGGCAGGGCAAACAGTATGGGAAGTCTATAGTGAGTCAACAATTGGAAGTGACCACTATCCGATTATGAGCAGGATTGGCAGCAGGAGTTGCAGTGGGACTCAGTGTTTTGTGGAAAGATGGAATTTTAAGAAAGCTGATTGGACAATGTTTGCGGTTATGAGTGATAGGAATATGGGTCGAGTAGAGGTGATAGATGATGTGGATGAATTTGCTGAAAATGTTAGTATAGCTATGGTGGACGCTGCAAAAGCTTCTATTGCCGAGTCAAGACCTGGGGGTAGGAAGCGGAAACTGGTACCGTGGTGGACAGATGAATGCACACAGGCAATAAGCAATAGAAATGCAGTGTTTAAAGATTTTAAAAGTAATTTAAGCTTTCAAAAGTATATGGAATACAAAAGAGAGCAGGCTAAGGTGAGGAAAGTAATTAGGAAAATTAAAAAGGATTATTGGATAAAGTACTGTAACACTATAGGAAGGCAAACTTCCGTAACGGATGTATGGAGAGTTGTTAAAAAAATGAGTGGGGTGCGGCAGTCGTGGAGCTATCCGATCCTTAAGAATGGGGAGAGGGTGGCAGTGAAGGATGAAGAGAAAGCAGCGGTAATGGTCGAAGCCCTGGCTAATGTCCATAGTAGCCGTAATCTAACGGATGGTGAAAGGGATAAAAGAGCGGCAACAAAAAGGCAGTATCAGCATCTGTTAGAAAATGTAGAGGATCGGAATGGTAGTTTGAACACAAGATTTTCAGTAGGTGAGCTAAAAAGGGCTATAAGTAAGGCGAAGGTAACGGCTACGGGGACAGATAGAGTGAGTTATGCAATGTTGAAACATCTTAGTATTGAAGCTCTTAATACTGTGCTGGAGTTATTGAATAAAGTGTGGGAACAAGGGAAAATTCCAGAGAGATGGAAGACGGCAGTCATCCTTCCAATTAGAAAGCCAGGGAAAGATCCTACTGTGGCTTCAAGTTATAGACCGATTGCTTTGTCATCCCACTTGGGGAAGATAATGGAGAGAATGATTGTGGAGAGAATTACTTTTTATGTCGAGTCTCGGAATTTGATAACGCCGGTCCAGAGCGGGTTCAGGAAAAGGAGGTCAACCATGGACCCAGTTATTAAGTTGGAGAGTGATATAAGGAAGGCCCAGGTGTGTAAGGAAGTAGTTGCGGCTGTCTTTTTTGATGTGGAAAAAGCGTATGATATGCTTTGGAAGGAGGGTGTGCTAATTAAAATCCGACGGCTTGGAATAGGTGGGAAAATGTATTATTGGATTCAGGACTTTTTAAGTAATAGGCAAATCCAGGTGAGGATAAATAGTAGCTTCTCGGATTGTGTAGCCGTGGAAAATGGTGTACCCCAAGGTAGTGTTATTTCACTGATTCGGTTCTCTATTATGATAAATGATATATTTGATACGCTTGATCACAGTATAGGCAAATCACTATTCGCAGATGACGGGGCTCTCTGGAAAAGGGGTAAAAATGTTAAATTCAGTGTTAAAAGTTTGCAAAAAGTTGTCAACTCTGTTGAAGACTGGGCGGGGAAATGGGGATTCAGGTTCTCTGTTGAGAAAACCAAGGTAGTGTTTTTCTCGTTTAAAAAAGTTGATGAAAGGGTTAAACTTCAATTGTATGGTAGGGATTTGGAAAGAGTAAACTGTGTGAGATTCCTAGGGATGCATTTTGACTCTAAGCTTACCTGGCATAACCATATTGGAAAGGTGGTCGACAAATGTAAAAAAGTCATTAACATAATTAGGTGCTTGTGCAATAAGGAGTGGGGAGCAAATATGACTTAAATGAAAAGATTGTATGTTGGATTAATCAGGTCTAGTGTCGACTTTGGATGTGTGGCGTATGGGTCGGCTGCAAAGTCTGAATTATGGAAGCTTGATGTTGTTCAGGGTTCGGCCCTCAGGATGTGTTCAGGAGCAATGAGGACCTCCCCTGTATCAGCGTTGCAGGTTGAAGTAGGTGAAATGCCGTTTGAGTTGAGGCGATTGCAAATGTCACTGACGTGGAGGATCATCCAGCTAAAAGTGTCCTTATTCCAACTTGGGAGCAGGGAAAAAGTAAAAGGGAGTCGTTTAGTGCAAGTATACATGGGAAAGTGAAGCGAGCAGATGTAGAAAAGTTTGAGTTTGGTCCAACCATAGTTTACCCACCGCACCCACCATGGCTGCTGTCGGTTCCAGACATTGATACAACTCTGCATGGAAGGATTAAAAAGTATAAGGGGGATTTTGGGCAGTTAGCAATGGGGTATGTGGATAACCATTATGGGTATGTTCAAATCTTTACTGATGGATCAAAGCAACCAGAGACAGGGAAAGTGGCAGTAGCGTATGTGGTACCAGAGTTTGACACTAGGTTCTCTGCAAGAGTGTCAGATCATCTGTCAGTGTACTCAGCAGAGTTGATAGCAATTGTGATGGCGTTGCAGTGGGTGGAGCAAACTAAACCATTGAGAGCAGTTATATGTTCAGACTCACTGTCAGCCTTAGAAAATTTTAAATTAGGCAACTCAAGTGAAAGGTCTGATCTTGTGTGGGAGGTGTTGACGTTGCTTCACAGTATTCAAAATGGGGGGACGCATGTGAAGTTTGTGTGGGTTCCGGCTCATGTAGGTTTGGCGGGTAATGAGCTGGCTGACAGGTTTGCTAAACAGGCTCTGAAAGCGGCTGATGTGTCTGTTCGGTGTAAAGTATCAAAATCAGAGGCCAAGTCAGTGATTAAAAAATATGTAAAGAAGATGTGGCAAGATAAATGGGATAGTGGAGATGAAGGGAGGGGGTATTATAGTATAAATTCGGAAGTTTGTCAAGGTCGCCGGTGTTGTATATTTTAAATCTACACTATTCAGATGCGACAATATTTGACCATTTGGACATCATAGCCAAAAAAAGACCTCTGTGCACTCAGGAAAAACCCCAAGGACACAAGATAGTACGGGAATCATAAAGAGGACCAGCTTACAAAACCAGACAATTATTGACTCCAAGTATAAGCAGGGCTCTCTCACACAATCAGGCGAGAGCAAAGTCCAACACAATCAGGCGCCGCAGGGGTGGGGCCATTGTTTGCTCAGGTTGATACGGAAGACCAAGACCGGGTCCAGACCAGGACCAGGGACCAGTCCAGTCCCAGACCTGTGACGTCATCGGACCCTGGGCCCAAGACCTGCCTGATTACGACACGCCCCCTGCTTCCTGGACATCGACTGATAATGCTCTGGCTTGGGAAGACACGGAAGGATCAGCCGAGGGCCAGAGAGGGAGAGTTATTTGGTTGGGACAGTATATGTTAATGAACACATAACTCCGGATTGTAGCCAAGGGGACATGTCTCTTACCCTCTGTGCCATCAGGTTCAGCCTGCTCCTCACGCTGCTTTTGCTTGAACTTCATGTTTCCGTGGTGGAGGACAGCACCTGTCATTTTGTAGATGCTCACCTTCTCCTCACCGTTGAAGCCCAGGATGTCAATGGCATTCTGGTTTGAAATATGTTTCCATTATTAATCCTCAACATGTTATCACATTTTTATATACTCAAGTAGCTCAAATATAAAACTAACAAACATAAAAATATGTATTAAACATATTTCACAGTAAGCTCTGAAAATAATGTACTTGAACTGGTATTGGTTTTGGTTTAGGAACAGTGGTGTTAGTGCATCCTGAACTCTCTGTGAGTCCTGAGTGACTTACGTCAGTTGCATCCAGCTCCTCTTTGTCATTAATGCTAGCAACAGTAATTTGACCCATGCTGCACATGGGGAAGTCGTATGGGTTGGATGTAATGAGACACATTTCTGAAAAGCAGACCATATGACTGTGAGCTCAACAAGAGAACGCAAGATAGATTTGTTTGTTTCATTATCTGCATACCAATGATCTCAGGCTTGTGGTTGGTCATCATCTGGAAGAAGATGTGGTAGCCTCTCTCCTGTTCAAGCTGGTATGTCACTCTAGACTTCTCCAGCAGATCTGTGAATGAAGTAAATACAGTATAGTTTAAAAAAAACATGTTTTTGTCTTAATTCTATTGATCTCACTGAAAAATCCAACTTACAGGTTTCAATATCAGCACTAGCCAGTTTACCAGTTGTGCCGAAATGAATTCTGATGAATTTACCCTAAGTGGATGAAAGTCGTTGTATTTTATTTATCCATATACATTTTTATATCAACAGAAATACAGAAATAATACAAGACTTACAAAACGAGAGGAGTTGTCATTTCTCACAGTCTTGGCATTACCATAAGACTCCAGCAGAGGGTTGGCTGCAATAATCTGATCCTCCAGGGAACCCTGCAGAGGAGATGATGGTCCTATTTGTATCTTTGAGGTGTAGAATGTTTTTTATTCAACAGTAACTAAATCAAAAACCAACCTGAATCTTTGAAGCCTGTTTTTTCTCACCACCACCAACTGAGATTGTGGCAAAGTACTGAATGACACGCTTGGTGTTCACAGTCTTTCCAGCACCAGATTCTCCGCTGTGGATGAAAATAGACTTTTAAAGTCACTGACAAATCTATGGAATTACTAAAGAATTATTTTCAACTTACGTGATCAAGACAGACTGGTTCTCCCTATCTATGAAAATATAAAGTGCAGTATGTCATAATCTATAATTATATATAATGTTTTTAATGTCAGTCCTACTCACCACAAAGCATGAACTGAAAAGCATTGTCAGAGACGGAGAAGATGTGGGGTGGAGCCTCCATACGCTTCTTGCCTCTGTAGGCATTGACGACTTCCATGTCGTACACTGGCAGCCACTTGTAGGGGTTGACAGTCGCACAGAACAGCCCAGAGTAGGTCTGAAGATATAATCACATAAACATGAATGTGACTGTTCTTAATACAGTGTTCACATATGTGAAATAAATGTCTTACGTAGATCATCCATGCTGCATAACGCTCTTTGAGGTTATAAAGCACAGATGCTTCATTGAGGTGGGTCATCATGGCCATGTCCTCAATTTTGTCGTACTTGGGAGGATTCATGGGAGAGACGTCATCTTCTTTAACTGTTTTCTCCTATGACAGATCATGGTGTATGTAAGCAGAGCATTTATACAGTATGTGTGTTTTTGAGTCTTTTACATGGTTTTAACTGACCTCCTGAGTGTCCAAGACCTTGACTGTGACTTTGGCACCGTCCTTCTTGACAATTGTAGCCTTGAGGTACAACTCCTTGACATCAGCCACGTAGCAGGCGCTCTTGGCATCAAAGGGAGCGGTTTGAGCCTCAATCCTTTCCTTCTCGGGTTTACGGAGATAGATGGCCGCCTTGCCGTAAATCTGCATCTCCGCGTCCGTACTCATGGTGGCGGTTGTTTTCTGCTTGAACAAAATGAAGAATTCAAAATCTACACTCTGAAAGAAGCAAAGCTTTATATAATGTTCACCTATTTTCAACACATTTTTTTTCAGAAATTATAAATTTCTATCAAAATTGTATGAGAGGCAAAGGGCTGCATTCTGAGCCACGGATTCACCACCCCTGGTCTACAAACACAATCCTTTACCTTTCAATTCCAACATAACTGTAGGTAAGTTATTCTTTATTATAACTTGTACATCTAATAAAACCAGCAAAATTGGTAAAACTAATCAAACTAGTAAAACTAATTGAACTAGTTTTGTTCAGAATATCTACCAGAAAGTATCCAACTTCATTCTGTTTAAAAGGCGCATATATGTAACAAAATTAAGGCTGAGACTTTAACTGAATAATTAATTAAGCGAGCGTTAATTAAGATGAATTAATTACACAAAAATGCATATTAACGCATTTCACACAGCGCAAAGTTTGTCTTTGGGGTGCGTTTTGCCAGATTAATTATGCTTCGGACAATATCCTACAGTGAACTTGAAAGAATAAGCTGACCGCATTGGTTAGCCCCTTAGATGGGGAATCGCTGTTATAAATTGTAGTTTTAAATTGTTGTTATACATTAAACAGATGTAAGGGTTTATAAGAGCATGGTTGTGTTCGCATATCATCGCAGCACATCGAGTATCATCTCAATGCTAAACGCAGAGCAGCTAGCACGGACGTTAGCCCACATCCAAGCCACACCAGCCGACTGGATTCAGGACCAAGCTAACTAAGTCCACGTCTGAACAACAACCTGGCCTTCTCACCTGATTGCAATTCACTGTAGAGAACTTTGTGCATTTCTAAATATGCTATTGCTACACTTTGCAAATGTTGCACTGGTCTATCGGACTTGGTTGGACAAAAATAAAACATATTTTGTCTGTATTCAGTAATCACTCAATGGTATACTAAAAATCCAGGGGGAAAAAAATACCTCTCACTGTTCTTGGGTCAAAAATGTACATGTGATTAATTTCACAAATCAGAATTTGTCATGTTAGGCCTCGTTATGGAGTCTACAGTAATCTCAAAAATACTTTTTATTTTTTTCAAAGACAACAGTCAATGTTTAAAGACAGTTAAAATACAGCTTACCTCACCCTTGGCTTTGATGAGATGTGGTAATGTTCCTTAATTCTGTAAAAGAAGTATAATAAACAATTTATTTTTGACACAGAATAGTTTAAGATTAAGAAATCCTTTATTCATCCCACAGTGGGGAAATTTCAGTGTTGCATCTCCAGTTACAGAACAGTAGGAATGAGGAGCACACAGCACAAGATAAATGAACCATACCTATACTAAATAGAATAAAATGAAAATCTTTCTACTCTAGCATTAAGAAGAAACAAGTGTAAAATCTTTATCTTTAGCATAATAAGTACAAAAAACTCAGACTTTAGTATAATAAATAAGCATGAACTCTGAGTGTCTTATCCAAAGAGGAAGAATCAAAACCTTACCAGGTGTCCCAAGTGGCCGGCAGTGGCTGCTGTGCCTTGGTTCCATGCTTATATCTTTTCATCATTGCTGACATGTCTTAAGTTAAATCGGGACTCGTGTCCAATGAGGTGAGTATCAGAGTTAATGATGGCATCCTATCAAAAAGAATGTCCTGACTTTCTTCTAAACTTGATTTTCAATATGTAAGTATTATAATAATTCCCTATTTCAATATTATACTTACTGTATATACAGTGCCTTGCGAAAGTATTCGGCCCCCTTGAACCTTTCAACATTTCGCCATATTTCAGGCTTCAAACATAAAGATATACAATTTAAATTTTTTGTCATGAATCAACAACAAGTGGGACACAATCATGAAGTGGAACGAAATTTGTTGGATAATTTAAACTTTTTTAACAAATAAAAAACTGAAAAGTGGGGCGTGCAATATTATTCGGCCCTCTTTACTTTCAGTGCAGCAAACTCAGTCCAGAAGTTCAGTGAGGATCTTTGAATGATCCAATGTTGTCCTAAATGACTGATGATGATAAATAGAATGCACCTGTGTGTGATCAAGTCTCCGTATAAATGCACCTGCTCTTTGATAGTCTCAGGGTTCTGTTTAAAGCAAAGAGAGAACCATGAAGACAAAGGAACACACCAGGCAGGGCCGAGATACTGTTGTGGAGAAGTTTAAAATCGGATTTGGATACAAAAAGATTTCCCAAGCTTTAAACATCTCAAGGAGCACTGTGCAAGCAATTATATTGAAACGGAAGGAGTATCAGACCACTGCAAATCTACCAAGACCCGGCCGCCCTTCCAAACTTTCATCTCAAACAAGGAGAAGACTGATCAGAGATGCAGCCAAGAGGCCCATGATCACTCTGGATGAACTGCAGATAACTACAGCTGAGGTGGGGATGGTGTGTTCAGGGTGATGAGCTGTGTTGCTTTTACGCCAAACATATCGTTTTGCATTGTGGCCAAAAAGTTTGATTTTGGTTTCATCTGCCAAGAGCACCTTCTTCCACATGTTTGGTGTGTCTCCCAGGTGGCTTGTGGCAAACTTTAAACAAGACTTTTTATGGATATCTTTGAGAAATGGCCACTCTTCCATAAAGGCCAGATTTGTGCAGTGCACGACTGATTGTTGTCCTATGGACAGACTCGCCCACCTCAGCTGTAGTTATCTGCAGTTCATCCAGAGCGATCATGGGCCTCTTGGCTGCATCTCTGATCAGTCTTCTCCTTGTTTGAGATGAAAGTTTGGAGGGACAGCCGGGTCTTGGTAGATTTGCAGTGGTCTGATACTCCTTCCATTTCAATATAATTGCTTGCACAGTGCTCCTTGAGATGTTTAAAGCTTGGGAAATCTTTTTGTATCCAAATCCGGCTTTAAACTTCTCCACAACAGTATCTCGGACCTGCCTGGTGTGTTCCTTTGTCTTCATGGTTCTCTCTGCGCTTTAAACAGAACCCTGAGACTATCAAAGAGCAGGTGCATTTATACGGAGACTTGATTACACACAGGTGCATTCTATTTATCATCATCAGTCATTTAGGACAACATTGGATCATTCAAAGATCCTCACTGAACTTCTGGACTGAGTTTGCTGCACTGAAAGTAAAGGGGCCGAATAATTTTGCACGCCCCACTTTTCAGTTTTTTATTTGTTAAAAAAGTTTAAATTATCCAATAAATTTCGTTCCACTTCACGATTGTGTCCCAATTGTTGTTGATTCATGACAAAAAAATAAAATTTTATATCTTTATGTTTGAAGCCTGAAATGTGGCGACATGTTGAAAGGGTCAAGGGGGCCGAATACTTTCGCAAGGCACTGTACTTGGTAGAATAACTACACAGATGTGTTATGTACAATAATCTTTATGGTAAACATACAATTACTGAGTGAATGTTTAAAATGTTTACTTTTGTGTCTCAGCAAGTTTTCATGAAGAAATTGCACTTGACTATTTCCACACATATGGTTTTCATATGTATTTTATTCATATTTGTAATAATTTGAATTAATGACTAATAATTGTATTCATGAAATGTTCTAAATGATTAGACTAGAATGATTAGAAGTATTCTCTTAATATACATTTTATTGGCAGCTTGTGTATTGCTGATCAAGTTTCATCTGAGTTTCAGGACTGGATATGCTTTTCTCTGACCTCGATTACTGCCCAGTCTATTTCTGCATCATACATGCAGTGTGATGCCCTAAATCAGTGAACGACATGCTTCATTAATTACAATCACATCTGAGAGAAATAATAGCTTTAAATTGTCACTGTAGAGATGGTTACATTGATCAATAATTGGAAAACAGAATAAACTGGTTTATGGATTATAGGTATAGGTTTTGGGATTTCATTATCAGCATTTTAATTCAAATGAAAATGTAGTAGTGGTAATTATTATATGTATATTTGTATTCATTGTATCATATATAAAGGAATAATAGGTTAGTTAAATTGTAAACAAAGTGAGCAGTAAAGATCTTAATGATAATGATGATGTGCTATCTACACATAAGGTAGGGTAAGGTAAGGTGCACTTTATTTAACCCCATAGGGCAATTTATCCTCAGGAGCAGAGGTTGAGGTTGTACTAGAAGTTGATGCTCGGTTTGGTCAGGACTACCACAGCTGGAGGATTTACCGATTGAACTGGAGCACACGGAGGAAAGCTAAGTAGCACAGGAAGTACGTGCAAACTCCACTCAGAAAGACGCTGTTCCGACTGGGATTTAAACCCAAAACCTTCTTGTTACGTTACTATGTGTAAGACCAGTCTACTAGAAAATTAACTGAAGACTACAGACTGAAACTGTGAAAGGGTAAAATGTTTAGATATGGGTTTAAGATTGTATAAAGGTATAAATCGTCACATTTGTTTTACAGGTGTTGTTTCAGAAATGCCTTTAAGCTAATGCAGCTTCCTGGGAGTCCCTTTTACAGAAGACTTACAAACCTTTCAAATAGAATATGTATGACTTGTATGACTATGAAGTTTTGTAAAAGATAATTGAATTGCACTTCTTGCTGAGTGCTATCCACTCAGCCACCGTGCTGCCATAATGCATCAAACATCTGTGTTTATTTGTCTTTCTACCTGTGGTTTGCATATCTTCTGTTCGTCAGATTCCAGAAACACTTTGCAGTTCAATGTACACAGTTTTCTTACATTTGTTTCTGTGCTTCTTTTTCAAAAAGGTTTTACGTGCAACATTTGCTTCCATTCACATCCATATCTTCGTTTCACTCCCTTACACGACCTTGAGGTCAGTATTTCTCAGTAGGTCCGACCCAGCGGCGGGTCGTGAATGCTCCATCCTGAGTCCCCTGCACCGCTCCATTATTTTATGGTTGTCTGTTTTCTGTGTGTGTTTTGTTTCACTGACACCGTCTTGTAATGGTTCTACGTCATGTATCCCTCCGTATCTTTGCTCTGAATAACTCCTCATTCTCTGTATTTTTACAGTTTTTGCCTCTTTTGTTCTTTACACTTACCTGATGACAGTCAGGCCAGAAACACTACATCAGACCGGGCAGACATAAAAGCTTATAATCTTAGTAGTAAATACTAAGAAATCTTAGTACCTTAATTACTTACTTATACTTTACTTACTACTTACTTTACTTATACTTTTATACTTTACTTATACTACTTATATTTTACTTTACTTATACTTTAGTTTCTATAATCTTATAATAGAAGACATTTAAATTTAACCTGTAATTCTACTTAAAAGAGATAGGAATTATGTTAAAGATGGTATTATTCTATTTATTGAACCATTCAGGGATAAGTAGTCATGGCAACATGGGGCGACAGTGGATCAGTTTGTAGAGCAGCTGGCCTTCTGTACGACTCCCACTGATGTCTGCTGCCGTCGTGTCCTTGGGCAAGATCAAGGCTCCTATGGACTTATCACCTGCAGGAGGATCAGTGAGGGCTGGTGCTAAGTGTACCGGGTGCAGCTCTGACTGCCACCCCCCGACCCAGAAATGGATTAAGGGAAAGAGGATGGATGGGTTGTTTATCCATTTTGAGTTCATGGATTTTCTTATCAGCATCGATGGATTGAATAAAATTCATGGATTTGAAGCTATACATGTATAGAGACACCAATATGCTCCTTCAGAATTCAAATATTTCCGTCATCAAAGGAAATGTTTAAACCAGTCATTACCACAAGCATTTCACATTGAATGAATGACAGTTCTGTTGTTCTTGTAATTTATTAAATGATAAACATGTTTGTCAGTCCTGGGTCTTTAGTCTATCCTAATCAGCTTTCCTCTGTTGCTGATTGACTTTTCTCGCATTCTCTCATTGTGAGGATGAAGACTGAGGAGTAGACGGAGGTGGAGCCAGGTGGCTCTTCTGCTCCTTCTAATGGACAAAAAAGGGTCAAGTTCAAGTCAACAGATTTTCTTTACAACAAGTGAAGAGATGTGATAAAAAGGTTCAGTGGATTCAGCCCACATTTGAGAAGCTTCATGATGATAACAGCCTGAACAAAGACAGCACTGATTAGAGAATCGGACAAGAGGCCAGTGGTAACACTGGAGGAGCTGCAGACATCCAAAGCTCATCTGGGGGAGTCTGTATATGGAGAAAATATATTAGACATGTATCTTCCCATTATGGACGAGTGGTAAACAAAAAGCCAGAATAAGAATTCAATACTGCAGATACTGTGGTCAGAAGAGACACAATGGAACTAATGAAAAAAATGATGGAAAACTAACTGCTCATCACTCTACTTCAGCAGCATCACGCTGTGAGACTGCTTTTCTTCAGCAGGGAGTTAAAGGGAAAGTGAATGGAGAAAAATACATGATAATCTTGGAAGAAAAGGTATTGGAATCTGTTGAAGTCCTGGCCAGATGTGTACCATCCATCTGGACATTTTATTTAAACATAAACTCTTCATACAATGGGATTATTCAAAACAAAATCTCTGAATGTTTTGGAATTCCCATGTCAGTCAATCCTTATCGTTCTTTGTATAGTGTGATTGAGCTTTTTTAGGAAAAAGGTTTTCAGAAGTCATGGAGGCTGAATATTTTTGCAAGCTTCACTTTCGTTGTTTTTTATTACACAATTCTTATGTGGATGGGGAAGTGAAAGGGACAGAAAAAAGGGACAAATGTTGTTTACTTTTGAATACTCTGGAAACTGAAGCAGTTGCTGTTTTCCATTCCATTTTCTTCTGCTTCATCCATTGCCAGGTCGTGGGGGCAGCAGTCTCAGCAGAGATGCCCAGACTACCCTATCCACACACACTTCCTCCAGCTCATCTGGGGGGACCCCCAAGGCGATCCCAGGCCAGCTGAGAGACATAGTCCCTCCAGCGTGTCCTGGGTCTTCCCTGAGGCATCCTCCCGGTGGGACGTGCCCAGAACACCTCCACAGGGAGGCGTCCAGGAGGGATCCTGAACAGATGCCTGAGCCACCTCAACTTGTTCCTCATGATGTGGAGAAGCAGCGGCTCTACTCCTTTTTCTTGCTTTTTTATATCTGAGATGTTGCTGCAGTACAGTGTTCATGGTTTTGCACTGGTCCAGACCGGAGCGGAAAGGATTCATGGTCCGAAAGAAGCACATTAGCCGAAAATCCATCGGAGGAGCAGCATTTTACTTTGGATGATAGCAAAGAAAATGGTCCGAACCAAGCGGCCAATCCACCACTGCTGCTGTGACCTCGCGTCATCTCAAGGGGCTTTCCATGAATTTATTGAATTAACCCCAAACGTAGCGAGCAATAGGGTTTATTGTTTTTATTTATTATGCTATTATATGTGGTTGTTTAGATCAAAAGAGCAGTTATTTCAACCGAGAGATCAGTTGGGCACGTATCAACAAGATTGGTTAAATTAAGCAGATTTCTTTGGTTGTTCTTACCATCTGTTTTTAGACTTGTCCTATTTTTTCAGTTCAGACCAAAACAGCTCTGAGACAAAGACAGGATCCACTATGAGCTCACCTGATGAGTAAAAAAACAGTGAAAAATAGTCATTTTGATCCGTGCCCTTCCTGCACAGGCTGCAACATGGTGGCCTCATTAGACTCACTGGGTTCTTGGAATGGAGGAATGGCAACCTGTGGCATAACTGTGTTAGCATAGTAAGCAAAAGTTAATCATGGGACTCTTTCCATTTATGGTCGGTGTCAAACAACTGGTGCAGGCAACATGAGAAGGTCCTTACAGCACGTCGTGTTTAGGGTCCACTGAAGGAATATTAACATAATAACATTTATAACAAATACTGTGGGTGTAATGTTGTGTAAAGAACCTTTTATTCCTCTGTGTTGTAATTGTAATGAATATGAATAGATTTTGTGAACAGGATTGGAACTATTAATATGCCACTGATTATGTGGATACTTTAATAATAAAAGTAAACAGATAATGGATTAGTTTCACAGATGAGAACAGATATAGCTGAGCTTTTCACATTCAGGACATTAATACGAGCAGTGCACATAGTTTCAAGTCCATGTATGGATTTAGGCTCATCTTGGCTGTCGTCCAAAGAGGGGTCAACATGCAATGCATGCAATGATCTTTTTCCAACAGGTGTACAGTATAACTGTGCAGACGTCACCACAAGAAAGTGAAAATTACAAACAGAACGAATTATGTTTATTCTACATAACATACATTTATGTGATAAAAGTAAACCGTATTGTGCACTTACTTTTTCCTCTGCCTAACATTTCACTTTGAGATACATCTTATCAACTAGATTCTGGAGCCTGCTGATGTTGTTCTTTTCAGGTTCAGTCTTGAACACAACAGGGAAGTGATGGTTATCATTTGACAAAAATAAATACTTGTTTTTGCATGTGGTTCACATACCTGATGAGCTCTCCCCTGAACTGCTTCTGCTCCACCTTTTAAAAGTTGGATGTTTAGGAATGGATTTCAATTAAAACATTCTTATTTGGTTTCTACACTGGTCTTCAGTCATGCTGCAGGTCCTTTAGCAGAAGACCAAATGCCAATGAAGGGCGCACATCACTGATGTCCTTTTTCTCAGCATTTCCTGATTTCGGAAAAGCCTCAGGCTTCTTTTAAGTGTTCAGCAGCATTCTGAAAGATACAATATGAACAAAAGCACATAATGCCAATGACTTTCAATATGTCAATACAAATAAATTGTTGGTTCTAAAAGATAATAATGTCTTTGTCATGGTATATGTTTGAGGAAAAACAGAGAAAAAGGTCTCTCTATAATGACCTGCATTCAAAACCTCCAAACATCCATGGCAGGTCTGTGAGCTTGGCTTAAGTGTGAATGTATACCAATCAAACTCATTGGGTCGTTTGTAACACAGACTGGGAGGATTGTAACCAAACAAAGTGCAATACAGAACTCAATGTGTGTGTGACTAAATACAACAATACTAACCTTTGTGGGCATACATAGTGTTTACGATGATTCCAATTTTCCAATTTTATGTTTCCAATCTTTGAGCTCCGCCTTGTTTTCACAAAGTACTGTGCTATATTCAGTCATTGCCCACTCGAAGCAGCTGTATACAGATCTTGAAATCACACTTTATGAAGTTGGTCATTCTGCAGAATGCACTGACCTGTAGACGTTTCTCCACGGCCGACATTCCTCCGCTACCTCTGGTGCCATGAAGAAAAGAAATAGGTACATCCACCAAAAGGTTTGAAGAATGGGTCCATAGAAAATATTTCTCATAATTTTGCAGTCCTTGATCTGAAAGAAAGTGGACCGCCAGTTTTGTTGTCGTTTTGATGATCTTTTAGCAGGGGATCTTCATTCCTTCTTTTGCATGTCAGCAAATATTTATCAATGATCTGTGGATTTGTGAAATTATGTGATTAGCACCCCTTAACATTGGAGTAAAGTGATTTATCGTGCACATTTCCTATAGACATAACCTAAATAAACTGCAGACATTATTTTGATTGTCTTATTTTTCAAAAATACCCTTGTAAATACATAAGCATCTTATTAGTTAGTTAGGAATGATTAGTTAGTTAGGAATTATTTTAAATACCTTTACCACGAGCAGGAACACTTCTTCAGCTACTCCCCAAGGGTCCTCCACACACTTTATTCTGTGCAGGGTGCTTACAAGGCAGATGCCAAATACGGGTTGTGAGATACCTGAGTCCAGTGGCAAAAAAACTGTCTGGCCTCTTCTAAATGTAGAGAATGCACTGGTTTTAAGTGTATTTTTCATAAACATAATATTTATTATGAAGATCATATTATAACACAGAACATACATTGAATATTTTCTTCAATGACATAATTTATCCTAACCAGAAGTAAGGAACGTCATCTGTGGGAGGATCATATGTCAGTTCCCTACAGAAACCGAGCAGCACAGGCGACTCAATGCACTCATTCATTTGACTCCAGAAGTGTACTCACTTTTTCACTGTCTGAAGCTAAAACAATAATTTTCCATATTTTTCTTATAACAATTATGTCATGACCTTGGAAGCTTCTGGTAGATACATTTTGAGATACTTGTAGGCACACCTGTATAGATAAGATATTGTTCCTTTAACACTTGGTCCAGGCTATTCAGACTCCTGTGCACTTTGGGCTAGGTTTGCATCATTTGTGGAGAAGTGGAAGCACCAAACAAAAGCATGGGCCACTTACCTCAGTTCAATAAAAAAAAAAAAAAAAAAATACAGATCAGTGTTGTCAAAACCCTGGTGCTGTTGCTTCTAAAGACCTACGCAAAAAGAAAACACAAACACATGTCAAGGAAAACCAACATTAAAAGCTGGACAGTAGGACGTACAGACTTCCCGCCATCATTACCCAAAGCTGAGCGACGCCTGGCACTCCGAGACACTGGCTAGCACCAGATGAACACGTCTATGGGGTGTGCTGTAAGTTACATACAGAATTTAAGGGCAGATCTCAAAGGACAAACTTCATTCAGTTACATTTGGTTCTGTCAGGAATAATGGGCCAAAATTCCCTCGTCTATAAGCTTTGTACTTACTTTCAATAAGTACAAAGAGGAGGAAATTACATGTCACTAGGGGGCGCAATTGAGCCAAACTAAATTTGTCTGTTTGTTTTTGTTTTTATTTCTATTTTATTTACTTCGTTTTGTTGCTTATTATTATTGTTATTGTCTTCCTACTAGAGTCATTATGATCATTGTTGACCTTGAAGAGTGATGTTGCTTTAAACAGTTGCCATTATTTGCCGTTACTGTTGCTGTTATTGTCTGTTCTTTTCTTGGTTTTTTACATTTTGCATAGTTGCTGTTCTATGTAAAATGTTTAAATGTATATCTGTTAATGTAGCGTTTTGGGGGTGGGCACCAATAAGCTCTTGCTTTGGCCCAGTCCTTTTGAGCAGTACTTGTCTGCTCAAATAAACAAATAAATAAGCTTGTGGAAGGGTATAGAAACTTTCAAACCATACCAAACAATTTAAAAGCAATACTGACAGTAGGTATGTAAACCTTTGACTTTTTAGTTAATTAATTAAAAGGATGTCTCTCAACACCGCTGGCATTGAGGACATGCATCTGTAAGCCATAATCTCATGTTGTGAGGATTGCCAGATTGACCTTTTCATTGTTATTATGAAAGAGGTTAAAAGGAACAAATGAGTCTACAGTCTATGAGCCCAATGAATTCCAATAGGAAAGTGCTCATGGGTGAAGTTTTAGTTCAACTCTCTGGCTCCTTTTGACTTACATTTACACCACTATGGCAGTAACCATTTGGGTCACACTCACCAGTTTGGGCTTTAAAAATATGTGGTTTAGCGCTGTCTGTGATCCTAGTGTTTATGTTTTGAAATTATGTTTTTTAATCCAGATATGAGCCATATAAGTAATCTGATCTCCATGCTTTGGAGGACAAAAATGAAGGTCAGACTCCACAGAGGCAGAGCCATTTGACCTTTGACAATTTTCCTTCATTTGCAGAGAACATCTAGGTTGCCTCAACAACCGTCTTAGCAACACGTGGCTAGGCAAGGCAAGGCAAGGCAAGTTTATTTGTATAGCACAATTTCCTACACAAGGCAATTCAAAGTGCTGAACAAAACATCCATCCATCCATCCATTTTCTACCCTTTAATCCATTTCTGGGTCAGGGGGGTGGCAGTCAGAGATGCCACCCAAGTCTCATAGCACCAGCCCCTCACTGATCCTCTGCAGGTGGTGAGTCCACAGGAGGACGGCTGCTCTGTGTGAGCATAGCCTTGATCTTTCAGTTGGGGCTTTGGGCAAAGTGGGGTTAAGTGTCTTGCCCAAGGACACAACGACAGCAGTCATCAGTGGGAGTCGGTGGAGAAGGTGTAGAGGTGGGAATTGAACCCACAACCTTCAGGCCTGAAGGCCAATGCTCTACCAACTGAGCTACTGTCGCCCTCAACAAAACAAGATAGCATTAAAATGATAAATAATCACAGAACATTAAAAAGAAAGATACAAATATAAAATATAAAATCCCTCAGTTGTATGCACAGCTAAACAGAACTGTCTTTAACCTGGTTTTAAACATTGTCAGAGAGGAGGCCTGTCTCACATCTTCAGGAAGATTATTTCAGATTTTAGCAGCATGAATCTGAAAAGCAGCCTCCCCATGTTTAGTCCTGACTCTGGGCACTAAGAGGAGTCCAGTCCCTGTGCTCCTCAAAGTCCGGGCTGGTTCATATGGGACTAACATGGCACTAATATATTTTGGTGCGAGGCCATGTTCCTATTCTGTCATAGTGTGGCCTCCAGATGTTTTGTCTTTGTGATATGACAGAATTGACCCTACAGACATAACAACTGTTGGAACATAACGTCACATTCGAGAATCGTTACAGGGGCCCCTAATTTGCGGATCTTTGAAATTGGGCTAAAATCATGTGGTCTGTAGCCAGTGTTTGTTCTTGTCATTATTACTGTTGCTCTTCTTTTATCCTTTTTTATGACATGTTGGACCTATTCTACATATCTGATTATGTGACCAAATTAAATAGTATTAAGCACTTACCTCTTCCTCTGTACAATATTTCACCTTGAGATGAAGATCTTATCAACCAGATCCTGGTGCCTGGCAGCATTTTTCTTTTCAGGTTTAGTCTTGAAGACAACAGGGGGGCGATGGTTAACATTTGACAACAAAAAATACTTTTCATGTGGTTCACATACCTGATAGGTGAGCTCTCCCCTAAACTGTATCGGTTCCAACTATTTGGTTTCCACACAGGTCTTACCCTAGACTCCAGTTTCCAGAGCTTCCTCTGCCCTTAATGGCCGGAGTGTTCTGAAAGAGACAATATGAACAAAAGTATATGACGACAATGACTTTCAATATGTCAATATTTCTTCTTATAAGTAAATGGTAGGTTCTAAAATATAATAATGTATTTCAGCTTAGTATTGTCTTGGTATATGTTTGAGGAAAAACAGAGAAAAGCGTACCTCTAAAATGACCTGCATTCACAAACTATTTAATCCCATGGCAGGTCTGAGAGCTTGGCTTAAGGAAGTTTAAATTCACATTTTGGCAAACACTATGGTGACGTCACCTCTCGATCAGTCTACTCCTGATGCCCTCTGCTGCTGCTGCACAGAATTACAGACACATTGAATTTCCTGATTACTGTAGCACAAAGAATCTTTTGTCAACTCCGGAAATAATTCTCTACGGAATATTCTGAAAGTCAACCTTATACTCAACAGAAGTTTTACTGCTTAGATTCTTGTTTGACTACATCTGTATTACTGGCTTAATCCGGTACATGTACAGTAAATATTGTCTGACGTGACACTGGTACTGAAAAGGTTGGGGCTCGCTAGTGTCCATCACTACCTCACTGTCATTCATAGCTCAACACCCGGTTGGTGTTCTTTGTTTGTAAATTAGATGTTTCCTGTGTCATCTATTGTGTTAAGATTATCCTGTGTGTCCTTTTTGTTGGTAGATCATCTATGTGGTATACCTAATGTATTTATATATATGTGTATTAGTATGTGTATTAAAAGGTTATATCGGCGTTCACCCTTAGATGGCACTGCCATTGTTTTGTATGTTAAGGGCCAATTTTTTTGTACCACACAAAGAAGGTCAGTACAATATGCAATTACTGGGCAAATTGAATGAATTGTTAACTTTTTGTACATGTTTATGATACTTGTTATTTAAGGTTAAACCGCGCTGCTTTGATGGTTTTTTTTAAAGCTCAAAAGACAATGATGAATAATAAACACAAATAAGTATTTTCTATTATGATCATGATAGACTTGATGTGTCCCTGGTCAACCTTAAAAAGTTCTGGCTCAGGATTTTTTCACTTTAAGTTCCACTTATTCTACCTGCTTTTCAAAAAAAAAGACAAATGGGTGTGCTTTTTTAACAATTGTATACTTTTAAGGAGATTTATACCTTCAGCAGATTGGAAATCTTTTGACAGATAACCAAGAAAATGTCAACATATTATTAGTATTGTCAACATTTTGAGACGATAAGAAATATTCTCAAAAAGCCCAACTGTACTCACCTATCCAGACTTCAGGTACCCCTTTGTGTGGCACCACTCAGAATTACTTCAGCCATTCTGCATGTTTAAACCTCAGCTTTAGATTGTATTTTGTAGGGAAAAATCTACCAGAAATGTATTCTTGATGATTTGAATAAAAAAATACTGTTGTTTCAACAGTAAGATGAGACGAGGGACTAATATTTTAAATAAGACATAAAAATAAATACTTGGACAATTTTTAAATAGGATTTATTGTTTCAAAACATATTTCATGAATTAAAATAAAACCATTGATTCAAAGTTACTCAGCAACCTCTTTGCCCTGTAAAATAAACATATACATTAATTATTCAAAGGCATAATTAAAAATAAAACAGTGAAGACTATATTATTAAAATGGGCTATATCAAAGCTTTACCTTGCCAGAGTCACGGCTCTTGACTCTCAGCTTGTTAACCTGGGACTCAGCGATGTCTGCACGCTCCTCAGCCTCCTCCAGCTCATGCTGAATCTTTCTGTTCTTGGACAGATGCTGGTTGGCCTGCTCCTCCTGTAGCACATGATTGTAATGTGTTGAATCTCTTCTGCATATCTGTTTATGTGATAAAACTAAATAGAATTGAGCACTTACCGCTTCTTCTGCCTGCCTCTTGTAAGACTTCACCTTCAGCTGCAGCTTATCAACCAGATCCTGGAGCCTGGCGACATTCTTCTTGTCCTCTTCAGTCTTGAACCCAACAAGGAGCCGATAGTTATCATTTGAAGAGATTACTAAATATATACTTACTTTTGTATATGGTTCACATACCTGGTAGGTGAGCTCCTTGACTCTTCTCTCGTATTTGCGGACACCCTTAATAGCATCTACTCCACGTCTCTGTTCATTTTCCACCTCTGTCTCCAGCTCACGCACCTTTTATAAATCATTTATTTATGTTGAGAGCACAATTTAACTAATTTATAATATTAATCTTACCCTTGATTCCAGTTTCTGGAGCTGCTTCTTGCCGCCCTTCATGGCCAGATTCTCAGCCTCATCCAGACGGTGCTGCAGGTCCTTAACATTAACTTCAAGATTCTTCTTCATCCTCTCAAGATGAGAACTGGTGTCCTGCTCCTTCTTCAGCTCCTCGGCCATCATGGCAGCCTAGAAACCATGTTTAGTTTTAATAATTGTATATCTAATTTGGTCAAAACCAAAAGGTATGCCATAGGAAGTCTTACATCAGTGATGGCCTTCTTGGCCTTCTCCTCAGCGTTTCTTGCTTCCTGAATAGTGTCATCAACTTCACTCTGGACCTGAACCAGATCAGTTTCAAGCTTTTTCTTGCTGTTCAGCAGACTTGTGTTCTGTAAAAATAGGAGAACAAGAACTAAATATAAAACTCTAAAATGGCAGTATTTATGCAATCATAATATTATAATTATTAAATATTTTCACCTGAGAATGCAGAAGTCCAACACGTTCGCTGGCATCGACCAGCTCCTGTTCAGCGACTTTGCGTCCTCTTTCTGTCTGTTCCAGAGCAGCCCTGAGTTCCTCAATTTCCGCCAACATCAGGCCATTTCTGCGCTCCACCATAGCAGCTTGTTCTTTGAAGTCCTCCTGAGCTCTCACTGCATCATCAAGGTGCAGTTGGGCATCCTAGTTGAAGAAAATTGTTAGTAGAATATTTAAGTAAATTTGGGTGAGTTTAAGAACTAGACATCCTAAAAAAAAAATGTTTGATACCTTGAGCTGTGTCTGCACATTTCTCAGCTGTTTCTGGGACTCTGCAGCCTGACGATTGGCATGGCTAAGCTGAATCTCCATCTCATTCAAGTCTCCCTCCATCTTCTTCTTGATTCTGAGGGCATCATTTCTGCTTCTGACCTCAGAGTCCAGAGTGCCTTGCATGGAGTCAATAACCCTCTGGCTGTTCCTCTTGATCTGTTCCATTTCCTCCTCTTTTTCTGCCAGCTTCCTGTCAACCTCACCCTTCACTTGATTAAGCTCCAGCTGAACACGAAGGATCTTAGACTCTTCATGTTCAAGAGTTCCCTGAAAAGGTAAGATAAAAAGTATGTAACCATGTATGTCATGTTAGGGAAGTGTACAAATCACAATATGATTGCTTACCTCAGCCTCCTCAAGGGCAGTCTGGATTTCAGACTTTTCTGTTTCAACCTGTTTCTTGGACTTCTCCAATTCATGGATGTTCTTGCCAGTCTCACCAATCTGCTCAGTCAAGTCAGAGATCTCCTCTATTGAATAATCATATATTTAGTCTTACAATATCAGATGTGGATGTAAATAAACCTCCATTGTAAACTCACGCTGCAAGTTCTTGTTTTCACGCTTCATGGTCTCCAGCTGGTCAAGAGATTCTTCATAGGAGTTCTTCATCTTGAAAAGCTCAGTTCCCATTGAGCGGGCCTCCTTTTGAGCTCCCTCAAGCTCTGCCTGACCCTCTTCAAACTTCTGCTTCCATTCAGCCAGGACCTAAAGTGGGAAATTATCAAAAGAGGTTATGGTCAAATAGAAATTAAAAGAGATTCAACAATGTGACCATTTAGAAATGAAACGGTTTACCTTGTCGAAGTTCCTCTGCTTCTTATCAAGGTTGGCAGCGAGACCATTAGCTCTCTCCACATCAATCATGAGATCCTCAACCTCACTCTGCAACCTCTGTTTGGTCTTCTCCAGAGAAGCACACTTGGAGTTGACTGCCTCAATCTGCTCCTCGGCCTCTTGGAGCCGTTGAGCAAGCTTTTTTCTTTATAAGAAATAGACATCATAAGTAAACCTACTGAATTTCAATGGTTTAGTTGTGCCGCAGTCTTTAAAACTCACTTGGATTCCTCAAGCTCCTCAGTGCGCTGGATAGCATCAGTTTCATACTTGGCTCTCCACTGAGCAACCTCGCTGTTGGCCTTAGACATACCACGCTGAAGTTCAGCCTTGGCCTCCTGCTCCTCTTCAAACTGTTCCCTGAGCAGATCGCAATCGTGACGAGCTGACTGGAGTCCATGAGCAAGGGCATTCTTGGCCTGAGGGAACAAATACATTATTGTATTTGTTGTATTGTATTTCAGATGGAATTAGTTTGTTACATACCTTGACTTCCTCTTCAATTAACCTCTTGGTCTCCTCAATCTGCTGTGTGAAAGCCTGTTTACCTCTTGTCAGCTGAGAGACCAGGGCTTCCTTCTCCTCGATTTGGCGGCCAAACTCACCTTTGATGTAAAAGATTGGTTAGAAGACAAATAATTGTCCAATTAGTTATTTTCCTGTTATTTATCTTACCATTCTCTGTGAGGAGACGGGCTTTTTGTCCTCCAAGGTCATTGATTTGGCGAACATTTTCATCATTCTTTGTCTTCAGCTCACTAAGTTGGTCCTCAAGGGTACGGCACATCTTTTCAAGATTTCCCTAAACATTTGTTTTGATGTTAATAAGAACTGTTTATCATAAATATTTACAAAAACATTAAGATAGTAACAATATCCCATTACCTTAGCTTTAGCCACAGCCTCCATGTTGCTGGAGAGGTCATCAATCTCCATCTTGTATTCACTCTTTTCCTTCTCAAGCTTCTGCTTGACTCGCTGGAGGTTATCAATCTGCTCTCCCAGCTCAGCAACACTGTCTGCCTGCTTCTTGCGCAGAGCAGAAGCAGTGGCTTCATGCTGCAGAGTGGCCTCCTCAAGGTCACGACGGAGCTTCTGGAACTCAGCCTCGCGCTTCTTGTTCATCTCAATCTGAGCAGCAGTGGCACCGCCGGCTTCTTCCAGCCTCTCACTGATCTCTTCAAGTTCCCTGGACAGATCTGCTCTCTGCTTCTCAACCTTGGCACGAGCAGCCCGCTCAGCCTCAATCTCTTCCTCTAGCTCCTCAATACGGGCCTTTAGTTAGAGTAATGGAGAGTTTGGAATTAAAACTTCAAGTATTCACTCTCTTGACCCTACTTTGAAGACATGTTACCTGAAGCTCCTTAATCTTCTTCTGAAGCTGTGCTCCCAGAGACTGCTCATCCTCAATCTTGCTGAGAAGCTGACTGGTCTCAAAGTCTTTCCTGGGGGACAAAAGGTTTTACGTTTATAACCCAATTTCATGTTGTTTTTAGCCAGAGTAAAACAATATATTCAATATAACTTCACTTTTTAATTTTCTCCTCAGACTGCTGCTTGTCATTCTCAAGATCCATTATGGATTCCTGAGCAAGTTTCAGGTCACCCTCCAGCTTCCTCTTGGCTCTCTCCAGGTCCATACGGAGCTTCTTCTCCTGCTCCAATGAACCTTCAAGCTGGAGAAGAGTAATTTAAGAAGTTTTTTTTTTTTTTTTTTCTCTTCCCCAAAATAAACAATGGATATGTCTTGATTTATATACGTACATCATCAACTTGTTGCTCAAGCTTAGTCTTAGCCTTGGTAAGAGTGTTGACTTTGTCTTCCTCTGCCTGCAGGTCATCCAGTGTCTGCTGGTGAGCCTCTTGGAGCGCCTTCTTTTCTTTAGTGAGCTTGGCAATGCTCTCATCCTGAGAAGCCATCTCCTCTGTCAGGTTCTTCACCTGTTGGTTTTTCAAAACACAAATGAATGTGACAAGTGAGCATGAATATTGGAGAAACAAATGGAATGTGGGGAACGGATTGTTCAAACCTTGTTCTCAGTGGCATGCTTCTCTTTCTCCACTTTGGCCAAGGTAAGCTCCAGATCATCAATATCTTTCTTGAGCTCTGAGCATTCATCTTCCAACTTCCTTTTCTTGGCTGTGAGCTCAGCATTGATCTCTTCTTCATCCTCCAGTCTCTCAGTTGTTTCCTTGAGTTTTGCCTCCTGCTGAATCTTACTTTTGATAAGACCCTCGCACCTCTCCTCAGCATCTGCAAGACACTCTCCTTCCTGAAAGAGCAAAGAAATGGAGCTAAAGCGAAAGTACAGGTCGGAAGACTCTCCCATGTTAACTGTCCCACCTGTCATTTTTTAATCCTGATTCCTCCCACTACAACTTGCCTGTGCCTGAACTCATCAGCTACAGCAGAACATTTACACAGCTGTCTCGTGCTCATCAGCAACCACCAACCTTCATTATCTGCATTTAATAGTGCTTTACAAATTTCCACTAAGCTTCAACTCATCTAGCAACCCTCGTCCCCATCAGCAAGTCAACTAGAATTAATCATTGTAATTCCATCCTTTGTGTGAGTCTTTCAAGACTGAAGATAGTTTTTAGCCTATGATACAAAAATTTCAAAAATAAGTGTCTTCTGTTTGATGACTCACAGAAGACACTTGCATCTGGAGGTCGTTCTTTTCCTGCAGAAGGGAAACCATCTTCTCCTCAAGCTCCTTCTTCTTGGCCAGCGCTGCAGCCAAGTCATTGGTCATCTTCTCATAATTCTCCTTCATATTGGAAAGTTCCTTCTCAGTCTCAGCACTCTTCAGGAGGGGCTTGATCTTATAGTACACCTTCATCCATGGCCAATGCTTGACATTCATGAATGAGCGGATATTGTACTGAATGGTATAGACAGCCTCTCTACAGAAATAAAAACAGATTTAGTATGTCTGTGTTTAAATAACACAATATGGTCAATTAAACATTTTAGTAATAAGTAAAGTATTAGTAAAGTGAACATGCCTTCTCTCTGTCATCTTCACATATTCCCTTCTCATGACGTATCCACGGCACAGAGCCTGTGTCATTGTGACAAGACTTGCAAGTTTTTCATCTCTCATCTCCTCAAGAACACCCAACAGACCAGCTTTGAAGAACACCTATAACATCATGGGGAAAACAGTATAGTACAATACAACATGGACATCTCAATTATGTTTTGCATTTACTCACCTTAGTGTGTCCAAATTTATACTCATCATGGTTGACATCAATGGATCCCAGAAGCTTCTCTGAAGCCTTCTTGTTGTCCATGAACTGACCGTCAGGGATAACACCAGCATTCAGTACCTTGTATCTTAATGAAGAAAGAAAGGAATTACAATAATATGTATTCATGTAGACAAAATATGTTATTTTGATTTAGACTTTTACAAAGTTCACTTATACCTCTGCTTGAAGTCAGCATACATAATTCTGCTGGGGAAACCCTTCCTGCAGATTCTGATTCCCTCCAGTACACCATTGCACCTAAGCTGGTGGATGACCAGGAAGTTCTCCATCAAACCTGGGACAATTAGAGTTATTATTCACCTGAAGGGATTCTAGAAATATAAAAAATTGTATATGTAAAAAATATATACCTGGAGTCTTAGACTCGTTTGGAATCAGGCAACGCACAAAGTGAGGATGGGTGCTCCTCAAGTTAGTCATCAGCTTGCCCAAATTCTCCTGTAACAGTTAATATAATTACTTTAACAAAAGTGGAAAGAGAAGAAAGAAACATCAATGTAATGTTTTAAAAGTGAATTCATACCCTGAACTGTGAGGACACAGTTTGCATGGAGCCACCCTTCTTCTTGCCTCCCTTGCCTCCTTTGGGCTCTGATAGATAGAAGTACCATACATTACTATTTATCTTTGTGAATAATGACTCATAACTAAATCTATGAAACAATTATGCCTTCACCTTCAACAGTCGGGGGATACAGAATAGGCATAAGTTTGACCGAAGATTTCTGGTACAGCTGGATAACAGACTCGTTCAGGGGGTCCTTGTTCTTGTCCAGCCAGCCAGCAATGTTGTAGTCCACAGTTCCAGCATAGTGCACCAGGGAGAAGTGGGCCTCAATCTTGCCCTTGGCTGGTTTAGGCTTCTCAAACGCCTTGTTCTTGCCCAGATGTTGATCATACAGCTTGTTCTTGAAGGTTGTATCTGAGGCTTTGGGGAACATGCACTCCTCTTCAAGGATGGCAAAGATGCCCATGGGCTGGTTGATAAAAAAGACACACACATTTTGAAATGAAATACAGTTCATTCAAATTGGAAGGTTTACCTTTTCAATCAGCTCAATGCAGGCTGCCAAGTCCATGCCGAAATCAATGAACTCCCAGATAATACCCTCCTTCTTGTACTCCTCTTGCTCCAGGACGAACATGGTGTGGTTAAAGAACTGTTGCAGTTTCTCATTGGTGAAGTTAATGCACAGCTGCTCCAAGGTATTGAACTGTCAAACACAAATATTGCACATGAACATCCACACTTGATTCACATGTCCTTAAAAGAAAAACAAAAATAGAGTAAAGATTACATCAAAGATTTCAAAGCCGGCAATGTCCAAGACACCAATGTAATGGTTTCTCTGTTGCTTGGTGTCCAGCATCTGGTTGATACGGATGACCATCCACAAGAACAACTTTTCATAGATGGACTTGGCCAGGGCAGGTACAGAATTCATCACCTAAAAGAACCTAGTGTTAGCAAGCTTTGATACAGCAGGGTTATAGTAATTGCTACTGCTGTATTAACTTTACCTGTGGCACTGTCTGTCCCTTGGTGACATACTCATTTCCGACCTTGACTCTGGGGTAGCACAAACCCTTCAGCATGTCCGCAGAGTTCAGACCCAGCAGGTAAGCAACCTTGTCAGCATCTGTAAAGACCATGAGGTGTGAAAGTAAAGTAAGCCATCCCCAATAAGTGAAGGAAGAAGAGTATACAGAATTTCTAATACATAAACTGCAGCTTAATGTATGAAAACATTGTATGAATTATATTCATTTTTTGACCCTCAGAAAATGGTGCAATCACATAAAAAATAAAAAAACAACAAATGACAAAGAAAGACATTAGACCTAACTGTAAGTGTAATGTAGGATCTTCTTCCTGTCTGAGTGTGAATGCTGACCATAAAATATTGAGAAATATATGTAGAATTTAAACCACTTCCAAAAGAGTTTGTGGAACACTTGAGTTAAAGTGAAACAAGCTACAGGACATCTTTCTCGTAATTTTATCCCGAATGTTAGTTACAGTATTTTGATCATTGGGATGCATGCATTGCAGTTACAGAATTCATGAATATGTTATTAGTTGAATAACACCTAAGTACTTATCTCATTGCTTTACAATTGTTTATTTCTTACTTTTTTGCCTGCTTTATCAGTACAATGTCCGTGGTTTTGCACTGGTCCAGACCGGTGCGGAGAGGATTCATGATCTGAATCAAGCGAATCCGGCCAAAATCTACTGGAGGAATGCTCACTTTTTGACAAAATGCTAATGACAGATTACGCATTTATTTTTTGACTAGAGCAGAGAAAATGGTCCGAACCAAGTGGCTACACCACCTCTGCTGCTGTGGCCTGTCCTGCTTCACCCAGCAGATGGTCCACCTGTGCTGCTGTGACCTGAAGTACTGTTGCTTATCATTACTATTGTTAGCTTTTTAGAATGATCAGTATATTTGTTTTGTTATTTTTATTTATTTGGTTGGGACAGTATATGTTAATGAACACATAACTCCGGATTGTAGCCAAGGGGACATGTCTCTTACCCTCAGTGCCATCAGGTTCAGCCTGCTCCTCACGCTGCTTTTGCTTGAACTTCATGTTTCCGTGGTGGAGGACAGCACCTGTCGTTTTGTAGATGCTTATCTTCTCTTCACCGTTGAAGCCCAGGATGTCAATGGCATTCTGGTTTGAAATATGTTTCCATTATTAATCCTCAACATGTTATCACATTTTTATATATTTAAGAGATTCCCTGTTTTGGATGCACCTATACCTTTAGTGGTACAGCTCTCACAACTCAAGTAGCTCATGAATCGAGGAGTGGAGCGAGCACACAATTAAGTTATTATTACACACACTTGTGTTTACTCTGATAACGTTTTTCAGCAACTGTCAAAGTTTGCCCGTACTCGTATTGCAACTTTCGATTTGAAAAATGAACCCATCGACTTAATTCAGCTCACTAAGAGGTTAAATAGAAGTACGAGTGAAAAAATCTTGCTGTTTACAAAATTAGCATCCCAATTATTAGCTCGGGTGGAAAGGAGTAAACAGCCTGCAGACAAAATAATTACTTAGTGTTATTAGAAGCCTTCAGTAAATGGATATTATGACAGTCAAATAATACAATGTATATATTGTAATCTATAAATATTATATACACGTAAAAATATGTATTAAATACATTTTACAGTATTACAAGCTCTGAAAATAATGTACTTGTACTGGTATTGGTTTTAAATGTGGAAAATTCATTCTGTCTTCTTAGGTTTACGGCTTTTTAAGTTCTTCTAACAAGACAATTAAAGCAAAAAAAGCTAGTACCTTTTTACTACTAGCTTTTTTTGCTTTAATTGTCTTATTAGAAGAACTTAAAAAGCCGCAAGTGGTATTGGTTTTGGTTTAGGAACCAGTGGTGTTAGTGCATCCTGAACTCTCTGTGAGTCCTGAGTGACTTACGTCAGTTGCATCCAGCTCCTCTTTGTCATCAATGCTAGCAACAGCAATTTGACCCATGCTGCACATGGGGAAGTCGTATGGGTTGGATGTAATGAGACACATTTCTGAAAAGCAGACCATATGACTGTGAGCTCAACAAGAGAACGCAAGATAGATTTGTTTGTTTCATTATCTGCATACCAATGATCTCAGGCTTGTGGTTGGTCATCATCTGGAAGAAGATGTGGTAGCCTCTCTCCTGTTCAAGCTGGTATGTCACTCTAGACTTCTCCAGCAGATCTGTGAATGAAGTAAATACAGTATAGTTTAAAAAAAACATGTTTTTGTCTTAATTCTATTGCTCTCACTGAAAAATCCAACTTACAAGTTTCAATATCAGCACTAGCCAGTTTACCAGTTGTGCCGAAATGAATTCTGATGAATTTACCCTAAGTGGATGAAAGTCGTTGTATTTTATTTATCCATATAAATTTTTATATCAACAGAAATACAGAAATAATACAAGACTTACAAAACGAGAGGAGTTGTCATTTCTCACAGTCTTGGCATTACCATAAGCCTCCAGCAGTGGGTTGGCTGCAATAATCTGATCCTCCAGGGAACCCTGCAGAGGAGATGACGGTCCTATTTGTATCTTTGAGGTGTAGAATGTTTTTTATTCAACAGTAACTAAATCAAAAACCAACTTGAATCTTTGAAGTCTGTTTTTTCTCACCACCACCAACAGAGATTGTGGCAAAGTACTGAATGACACGCTTGGTGTTCACAGTCTTTCCAGCACCAGATTCTCCGCTGTGGATGAAAATAGACTTTTAAAATCAATGATAAATCTATGAAATTATTAAAAAATAATTTTCAACTTACGTGATCAAGACAGACTGGTTCTCCCTATCTATGAAAATATAAAGTGCAGTATGTCATAGTCTATAATTATATATAATGTTTTTAATGTCAATCCTACTCACCACAAAGCATGAACTGATAAGCGTTGTCAGAGACGGAGAAGATGTGGGGTGGAGCCTCCATACGCTTCTTGCCTCTGTAGGCATTAACGACTTCCATGTCGTACACTGGCAGCCACTTGTAGGGGTTGACAGTCGCACAGAACAGCCCAGAGTAGGTCTGAAGATATAGTCACATAAACATGAATGTGACTGTTCTTAATACAGTGTTCACATATGTGAAATAAATGTCTTACGTAGATCATCCATGCTGCATAACGCTCTTTGAGGTTATAAAGCACAGAGGCTTCATTGAGGTGGGTCATCATGGCCATGTCCTCAATTTTGTCGTACTTGGGAGGATTCATGGGAGTGACGTCATCTTCTTTAACTGTTCTCTCCTATGACAGAACATGGGGTGTGTAAGCAGAGCATTTATACAGTATGTGTGTTTTTGAGTCTTTTACATGGTTTTAACTAACCTCCTGAGTGTCCAAGACCTTGACTGTGACTTTGCCACCGTCCTTCTTGACAATTGTACCCTTGAGGTACAACTCCTTGACATCAGCCACGTAGCAGGCACTCTTGGCATCAAAGGGAGCACTTTGAGCCTCAATCCTCTCCCTCTCTGGTTTACGGAGGTAGACGGCCGCCTTGCCATAAATCTGCATCTCCGCGTCCGTACTCATGGTGGCGGTTGTTTTCTGCTCAAACAAAATCTACACTCAGAAATTGTATATTTGTAACCAGGTTTAAAATATCTCCATGGCTCTATGCCTCAATTGTTGATTACGAGAAATCTTCTTGACCCAAATTATTAATTTGAATTATTATCTTTAACTTGCAGCATTATTGATAAGAGGTTAGTAAAACAACCACACCATTAAGTTTATACAGAAACTTTAAACTAATGTTAATTAAAACAATAGAACATTGGCCTATTTTCTACAAACACAACCTTTGGCCCAGTTATGTTTCAATTCCACTATAACTTTGCTAGTTTTGTTCAGAAAATCTGCAAGAGATTATTCAAACGCATGCTATATACAGGTACCCCTTTTGTCAAAATAAATTTACAGCATAAAAAATCTAAAAATTAAAATGTTCTAAATCCCTTTTATACTTTCTTGTCCAGCTCTTTCTTCTGAAGTTTGGCCCCTGACCAAAATAACTTTTGACGCCCCTACTCTACATCTACATGACCGAAAAGTCTTTGTTGAATATTAAAATACATGTATTTAAGGAACAAACCTACATTTACTTCACAAATGATCTCATTGGTAAATCATCTCATAGTTTGTCATGTTGGGCTGCGTTATAGAGTCTCCACTAATAAATGCTTATTCATTTAAAGATAACAGTCAATGTTTAAAGACAGTTAAAAGACAGCTTACCTCACCCTTGGCTTTGATGAGATGTGGTAATGTTCCTTAATTCTGTAAAAGAAGTAGAATAAACAATTTGTTTTTGACACAGAATAGAATAAGATTAAGAAATCCTTTATTCATCCCACAGTGGGGAAATTTCAGTGTTGCATCTCCAGTTACAGAACAGTAGGAATGAGGAGCACACAGCACAAGATAAATGAACCATACCTATACTAAATAGAATAAAATGAAAATCTTTCTACTCTAGCATTAAGAAGAAACAAGTGTAAAATCTTTATCTTTAGCATAATAAGTACAAAAAACTCAGACTTTAGCATAATAAATAAGCATGAACTCTGAGTGTCTTATCCAAAGAGGAAGAATCAAAACCTTACCAGGTGTCCCAAGTGGCCGGCAGTGGCTGCTGTGCCTTGGTTCCATGCTTATATCTTTTCATCATTGCTGACATGTCCTAAGTTAAATCGGGACTCGTGTCCAATGAGGTGAGTATCAGAGTTAATGATGGCATCCTATCAAAAAAAAAAGTCCTGACTTTCTTCTAAACTTGATTTTGAATAGGCTACATCAATGAGGAAGGAGTATTATACTTGGTAGAATAACTACACAGGATTTAGTGTGTTTTGTAAAATAATCTTTACAAAAAGAACAAAATTATTGAGTGAATGTTTTAATATTTTTTTTGTTTGGTTCTCATTAAAAGTTCATGAAAGACGCTTTTGTTTTTCACATGGATTTGTATACTGTTTTCAATAATATTAATAACAAGACAAGATAATATTATGGAGAAATTGTGTTCATCATATTTTCAAAATAATTATTAAGTATTATCTTAAAACACCTTTTATTAGCAGCCTGTGTATAGCGGATCAAGTTTCATCTGATTTTTTATGAGTGGATATGCCTTTCTCTGACCTCGATTACTGCCCAGTCTATTTCTGCATCTACATGAAAGTGTGATGCCCAAAATCAGTGGACGACATGCTTGAATATACAACATGTGATAAGAGATCATGAAATTCTGCATCTCTCTAGTTGTGTGGAATAGTTAGATGAGTTGCAGTTCCATATTGTATATGAAGAATTGTACATTATTTATTTTTCATTTTTTTAACAAACAAATTGAAAGGTGTTGTCTGCAAAAGTAATGAGACCCCAAGAGTTTATGTGTGGTGGAATTGCCTTTTCCTACAACTCCACCTTCAAGTCTTTTGGGGCATGTCTCTGTGAGCTTTGTAGATATAAGGGTATTTATATCAAGGTTTTGTGTGTGTGAAAGTGAATAGCACTCCATAACATTTGAGCAAACTGATTTTTCATGCACAAGTCTGTATAACTAAACTAGGAAAACTGCACCAGAATAAGCACATAGAATTTAGCACATGGGATTAACATGACCTCAAAGTTGACTGTATGGGTTTTCTTTGGTGGATTCCAATTCAATAATGATAATGTAAGACTGGCAGATGGCTTTGGGCTTTATGCTTGGGTTGAAACACGATTGGACCAAATTTGAAAAAAGGCTGACATTGATGACTGATTTACTTCATTTTTTCATGAAGTATTACTAATTGTATTCTCTCTTCATTGTTTAAATCCAAATTAATGTTGTGATTGTTTCCCCAAAACAAAATGGTATATTATGATTCTAATGCTATTGGAGCATAATGGCCAGATGGGAGGTAAAGGTTAATGGTTTATATTTCAAATGCTAAATACCAGATTTGTTTCATATTCTAACAGAGCGGACAGTCTGGGTGCATATTTTGAGGCATGCATTGCTCGTCCTATTCTGCAGGTTGTATGGAACTGAATGATAAATCGTTACTGTATAATTATATTGAATTATTCATATCGACGAAACAACAGCATACATTATGTTGTTACTATGACCTCGGGCTGGGCAATATAGATGAAAAATATATTTCTTGCATATTTATTTTTCTTATTGAACTCAAAGAGGGAGTCAGTTAAAAGGGCTTCTGTCACATTTGTTTTAATTTCCTATTTACAAAAATGATTGTTTAACTGTAAAATATATTAAATTAATAAACATTTCTTAATTATCTTTATTCCAAAATAAATACTCAATTCAAGACGGACAGTGCATATAGGAACAAAGTGCTTCTGCAACATTTAGGATTAAGATTGTATTGCAAAGAAATACTTCAACTCCGTAATCCGTTTCTGTGTTGTGTTTTTAGCTCCGAATAAAGTTTACAGTCTCTGGTGTAAGTCACGTTGTTCACTAACGACAATTGGAGCTATGTCCACCACTGTCTGAAATGACGAGACACCACCCTGCGCCACCCTGCGCCACCCTGCGCCACCCTGCACCACCCTGCACCACCCTACACTACCCTGCGCTTCTGTCATGTTCTACACACGTTTAGTTTTTCTTATCATGTTTTTTTAAGACAAGTTGGTTTCCTTTGAGCATGTTTACAGTCTCTGCTCCTAGCTAAGCGGCCACCGTAGTGTTGAATGAGACACACGCAAGGAGAAGGGGAGCCAACGCAAGAAGGTGGGGGTGAGCACAGCATAGAGAAGGCAAATGACCAAAGTGGCAAAAGTGAAATATAAACATTATATCGATTAATATATATATATAGGGGGGCGACAGTAGCTCAGTTGGTAGAGCATTGGACTTTGAGCCTGAAGGTTGTGGGTTTGAGCCCACCGTAAGACCTACTTCACGACTCCCACTGATGACTGCTGTCGTTGTGTCCTTGGGCAAGACACTTAACCCCACTTTGCCTGAAGCCCCCACTGAAAGATTTCAGCTCCTGTGGACTCACCACCTGCAGGAGGATCAGTGAGGGGCTGGTGCTCTGTGTACTGGGTGGCATCTCTGGCCACCCCCCCCGACCCAGAAATGGATTAAGGGGAAGAAAATGGATGGATGGATGGATGGATATATATATATACGATATGACAAAATTCATATCGAGCTTAAAGAATATCTTGATATATTGTAAATATTGATTTATCGCCCACCCCTATCACCCTTGAATGCACCACTACTGCCAGCCAACCACAAACCTTTGCATAGGTTGATTGACAATTGGGAGGACCAATAGTCTAGATGATCCACCCGGAAGAAGAAAATCCTCCCATATAAAAACCAGACTGGCTTAAGCTAGCAATAATAGTGCCGGTTCATATAGGCCAACTGCTGAGTAATTCGCAGAAGTTACTCGAGACACATTTTCCCACAGACGGTAATGAATTTAATTTGAGTGTATTCATTTCAAATGTGCACAGGCTTAATTTAGATATGACATTTTGAATGAACGATACAATAAGAGCAGAGCATCGGTGTTCAGGAATTTACATGATTTTTGTATTATTCCAACAATCTTAGAAACTTTTGTCCTCAGGAAATTTATGTGAGGTTTCCATGTGATCTTTGTGAATGACAATGTATTAATATCAAGCCACAATTTTAATGTGTTCATTCCCACAGCTACAGTGGACAAAAATGGTCTCCAACACATGATTGTTGTTCTCAATAGCGTCACTGTGAAGAAAGTAAGGCATTGTGCTGTCATGCTGTTATATATAAACTACAGAGATGTTCCTTCTGTTATTTTAACACTTCATGTAGAAGGTTACTACTTTTTGAACTGAGAGCATGTTTTTTTTTAAGTGTGTTTCATATTCCTTTCATTGCTATCTCTGTTAATGATGTCTAACTCAAACTAAAAGCTAACCATCCATCCATCCATTTTCTTCCCCTTAATCCATTTCTGGGTCGGGGGTGCCAGTCAGAGCTGCACCCAGTACACTCAGCTAAAGCTAACCTACATTTCCTATGCTCATCCTGCTCATGAACAGTTAATCAATCAAATTTTATTTATAATGCGCTTTTTATACAGAAGATGCAACACAAAGTGCTTTACAGTTTGGTTCAAAACAATCCTGCCGGCCCATGACCCCTCCCCACGACCACCCAACAGACCCAACAGTTAAGTCATTACCACAAGCATATCACATTGAATGGATGATAGTTCTGTTATTCTTGTGATTCATTACATTATAAACAACACCAGTGCAGGTGCGCAGATGTTTGTCAGTCCTGGGAGCGACTGAGTCTTGATCATCTTGCCTCTGGTTGTGATGGATCCTTGGCTACAGTCTGCAGGATCGTTTGCGGAAAGGATCTCTTCAGATTGTTCTTTCTTCTATGGACAAATGCAAGTCAAAACGATAACAAGTAAAGAAGGAGCTACAAATATACAGTGGTTTGAAAAAGTATGAATCAATTTTGTGAGAGATTTGAAGTGAAAGAACCTTTATTAAACAAAAAGAACTAAACTCTGGGCCATCAGTCCCCAGTGTTCAACTCTGGAAGGCCTCAAACATGTGTAGCCTTTATGGGGAAAATATTAGACATGCGCTACACAAATCTACCCGTTAAGGACGAGAGGAAAATATAAAGCCAGTATTGAAACAAACTAGCAAAAAGCCAAACATTCAATATGTGAAGGAAGATACAATGTAGTGCTGCATCTTCTCATCAACCTTTTCACACTTGCCAAAAAACCTGGAGGCGCCACCCTTTGGCCCCAGAGCAAGCTACTGTACTGCAGCGATGGCGCTGTGTGTCCAATTGGAGGTTGGATAATGGGTTTATTGAACCATGGTTCCAGGAGCTAGAGTTCCAGGGGAGCCATCGCAAGCAGGAAGTGGGACTTCTGCACCTTTCCTTTCCTTTAAATGTCATTGTTGGTGCTCTTTTTTAGACTGTGCTCTGTACGGTGATTGGACAATGGCTCCAATAAATGAGTGGCACTAGGTGCAGTGGTTCTCCTTCCTGAGGACCAGAGACGTGAGCATCAATGCTGATCGTGGACGGCAGCGCTCGCTCACGTTGCTCTCGTGCTCGTGGACAGAGGGACACCAAAGCCTGAGTTTGTTGCACTGGCTTTATAGAAAACCGATCCTGATGACAAGGCCTCTGGTGAAAGCTATAGGTCCCCTGTCGGCACCAGACATGCTGATTTAGTTAACAGTGAGGTTTATAGGAAAAATCTCCCTAATTTAGGCTGCAGTGCCATGGTGGCCCCTTGTCCATGCTGTCGACAGTTTAAGCTAGCCATACCTGGTCCAGAAAATATATTCCATCTTTAAATGTTATGTTTTCTTCTATTCAGACACTTATAAAGCTTTTGGTGCTGCAAATGCATTGGTTGAAAATAAAACCATTTATAGATTGTTTTACACAAAACTACCAACAAGATTAAAAGTCTCGTCTGTATATAGTTATTTTATCTGTTTTTAGAGTGTACTTGACTCATTATTTTCTCAGTTCAGACCAGAGCAGCTGAGACAAAGACAGGATCCATTATGAGCTCATCTGACAAGTAATAAACTAGTGAAAAATAGTCATTTTGATCCGTGCCCTTCCTGCACAGGCTGCAACATGGTGGCCTCATTAGACTCACTGGGTTCTTGGAATAGAGGAATGGCAACCTGTGGCATAACTGTGTTAGCATAGTAAGCAAAAGTTAATCATGGGACTCTTTCCATTTATGGTTGGTGTCAAACAACTGGTGCAGGCAACATGAGAAGGTCCTTACAGCACGTCGTGTTTCAGGTCCACTGAAGGAATATTAACATAATAACATTCATAACAAATACTAAAATGTTCACTTTCTTCTCACTGTTGGATTTGGATAACCATTTTTAAATGCATCATTTTTAACAACAACCTGTAAACTGTGGCTGTAATGTTGTGTAAAGAACCATGTATCCATCGGTGAGAATATAATTTGTTATAATGAATATTATTTGTGTTTACAGAATTATGGGGATATTTTAATTCAGAATTCTTAATTAATGTAAGTAAACAGATAATAGATTAGTTTCACAGATGAGAACAGATATAGCTGAGCTTTTCACATTCAGGACATTAATACGGGCACTGCACATAGTTTCAAGTCCATGTATGGATTTAGGCTGATCACAGCAGTGTAACTGCCAGGCTCTCACTGGCTGTTGTCCAAAGACGAGTCAACATGCATTGCATGCGATGATCTTTTTCCAACAGGTGCATAATTGTACAGGCGTCCTCACAAAACTCAAGTGAAAATTGCAAATAACAGTTAGAGCGGCTTTTGTTTATTGCATCGCACATCAAAAATTGTCACACTACTAAATTCCAGCCATTAATCAGCAGCTTCATTATCCGGAGAGAAAAGATCATTAAAAATGGCTCTTGGGGCTCATCTCAGCTTCCTTCAGCTCATGCTGAGTGTATGGCCTGCTCCTCCTGTGGCACATGATTGTAATTTGTTGACCGTATTCTACAAAACTGTAATTTTGATGAAAGTAAATAGTATTGTGCACTTACTGCTTCCTCTGCCTGTCTCCTGTGAGAGTTCACCTTGAGCTGAAGCTTATCAACCAGATCCTGGAGCCTGGCGACCTTCTTCTGTTCCTCCTTCAGTCTTGAACACAACAGGGAAGCGATGGTTATCATTTGACAAAAATATGAGTAAATAAATACTTGTTTTTGCATATGGTTCACATACCTGACGAGCTCTCCCCTGAACTGCTTCTGCTCCACCTTTTAAAAGTTGGATGTTTAGGAATGGATTTCAATTAAAACATTCTTATTTGGTTTCTACACTGGTCTTCAGTCATGCTGCAGGTCCTTTAGCAGAAGACCAAATGCCAATGAAGGGCGCACATCACTGATGTCCTTTTTCTCAGCATTTCCTGCTTTCGGAAAAGCCCCAGGCTTTTCTTTAAGTATTCAACAGTATTCTGAAAGATACAATATAAACAAAAGTAGATAAATATTATATTAATCAATGGAAATTTGATGGACGGAAACACGAGGATTGTAATCAAAACAGAACATTGTGTGTTTGACTAAATACACCTCATTTTTTGCGTACATAGTGTTAAGCATTCCAATGTTTTTTGCTCTAAGCTCCACCTTGTTTTCTCTACAGCGCATGTGTATGAAGTACAGTCAAATCTAAGGCCTTGACCACACAAAGCTATTTCTACAAAAGTGTTTCATTCAGTCATTGCCCACATGAAGTTGGGCTCTCATTCTGCAGAATGCACTGACCTGAAGATGTTTACTTTACTGCCTCTGGTGCCTTGAAGAAAAGGAATAATATATCCACCACAAAGTTGATTGTCCATAAACCTTTTGTTCATCCCATTTCTGTCATCGGATCTGGAAGAAAAAGTTCCCTCTCTTTGTCTCTTCAGTAGATTTGACATCCGCGCTGTTTATGCAGACAGTGCGCCGCTGTTTTTGTTGTTTTGATGATTTTTTGGAAAGGGGGATCTTCATCTCTTCTATTGTTTTTCAGCGCTTATTGATCAATTATCTGTGGATTTGCAAAAATGATTAGCAATATTGGAGCAAACTGATTTCTCATGCATATTTCCTATAGGAAGAAACTTGTACATGTGTTTGCACATGTTGTTTGGCGCCTGCATTGATCAGAGAGTAACAATAAAGTAACCATAGCCTGAGAGAATATTGAGATCAATATAAAGAGGTCTAAACGCCCCTGCTTGGCTGATGTGTTGGTGGTTGTGTGCATTGCATTCAAGTAGTGCTTTTTATGACAACTATAGTGTTTTAGAATACATTACTCACAGCACACTTAATGTAGGTAATATATTATGTATACCTACAAATGCCCTGAGGAAGGAAGGAAAAAAGGTTGTTTTTACTGACTGACTTTACTTATAAAAATAAAGCCATCTCATGAGTTATATGGAAGGAATGCAACTTGAAAAAACAAACTCCATCCATCCATCCATTTTCTACCCTTTAATCCATTTCTGGGTCAGGGGGGTGGCAATCAGAGATGCCACCCAAGTCTCATAGCACCAGCCCCTCACTGACCCTCTGCAGGTGGTGAGTCCACAACTATAATATATATCTAAATAATGCATTTCGACAGGAGCAGAACTTACCCCTAGCAGAAACACTTCTTCAGCTACTCCCCGAGGGTCCTCCACACACTTATATTCAGTGAGGGGTGCTTACAAGGCAGAGCTAGATGCCAAATACGGGTTGTGAGATACCTGAGTACATTGGCAAGATGAATGTCTGGCCTCTTCTAAATTTAGAGAATGCAGCGTAATTTAAATGTATTTTCCATATGCCTAACCTACATTTCAAGTTGTCAAGAATACATTATAGCCTTATTCAACAGATTTTAATATCATATATTAATCTAAATTAAAAAAAATAATTCAAATCTGATCATCATTGATTGATAAAGACAGAATTACAGTTTGACATTATTATTGACTTCTAAACATTATTCTTATTATCATTAATATCATTATCATTATTATAACTTACTATAGGACTGTGACAAAATAATCAATTAACAACATAATTATTGAATGTATTGGCTTTAAACATGGCTTTTAAGATATTTGTCTTGATCAATTCATGACATAAAATAATTAAATGGCTCTATGCGGATAACCAATATTCTCTAGAGACTTGCTTTTCACTCAGGGCTTCTGATAAATACAGTAAATACACCAAAGATGATTGAAGATTCTCTTCAATAAAATCCATTTGCTACGGCGCAAAAGTGTGGAACGCCACCTGTGAGCGGATCATATGTCGGTTCCCAGAAGACAGGAGAGCTGAGCACACACGCTGACATGGGAACTCTACACCAGCAGGACGCACACAGAAACCACAACACAAGCTCAATGCACTCATTTGGACACACTATACAATAAAATCCATACGTTTACATAAGATAAGATAGACTTTACACCGTGTAAGAAACCTGATGAATAACATTGAGAAAATGTGTCGACCTGTGAATGAAAATGTGTACTATGTTGTATGTCTTTTGTTTGTCTGTTTAAGTATGTAGTGCTACTGACCCCTGCTCCAAGACTCATTTCTGAAAGAATATATTCATCTTGAACATAATAATGTTTTTCTAACCATCTGAAGTTCAAAAAATACAGAGGCCTTATCCAGATGAAGACAAATAGGTTGATAGTCTTTAAACGTATACAGTATATTATTTTCAACGTTAAATATGTAATGAACGCCGCTTTATTTGAACATTCACATTCACTGTTGAGTTTCTTCAATAGGGGACATCTCCATTCTCTATTAATAACCCTTGCCTCTGCATACATCGTGCAAAGCAGAATTGTATCCGCTGTGTCAGGATTCAGTCTATTTCAAATTCCAAATGTCCTCTCCGGAAGAACTGACTTTCAGAGCAACGCTAGACTTCATCTCTTCAAACTCTTCACTCTCATCCTCTCATCATGAATTTGATCATCTTAATATACATGTAAGTAAGAGCAAAACATATACAAGAAAAAAAAGTCATTAAAAGTCCGAACCTGCTTTGAAATAACACACATTTTTCAGCCCACAGGTCCCACAGGTGAGCGGGTCTAATGTCTAATGTGTGCATATACTTATATTTATGTCTATTATATGTATTTGCTGTGTCAGTATGGTGCAAATACTGGTTTGAATGATTGTGTGGCAAATAAATAGCACATATTATGGCACTCATTTGTAAATACTTGGTTTATGTCTAATGACACTTTTGTATTTTAATGTGTTCATTCCTGACAAGCCTGGCATAAAAGTGTAAGCACACTCGTTCACATTGCAACGAGATAGCCCACAGAAGTGAAGCGCTGCAGGAGGTGTGAGCTGCCCACACGCTCGTGAAACAAGACAGGACTCTTCACAGCCAAGACTGTTTTCATTTCAGAATGTACCCATGCGTTTGAGCTCATTATTGACTAAATAAAAACATCTTAATGGACAACATGAGAGATAAAGTCCTATAGGGCACTGTAATTGGCCAAGTTGTGAAACATACAATCACTGCCACAATTTTAACATCCACCAAATGAATTTAAATGTCAGGCCTTTGTTTATAGATTAATATTATATGCATCAGATCACAGTAATGAGAGCATATTGGAGAGAAAAAAGCCAACGCCATGCTCTAGAAACACTTTCTGCAGAGAGAGCGTTTGAATGACTCACTGTTTTAACACAATTAATCCTGTTATTTTAACTTGGTTGAGTTTATGAAGAAAGTAATCAGTAATTGGCATCATACATGTTTAGAACTAGCCTGGCCTTAGCCATCCGTACACTCCGCTCAATCATCATTTCACTGCATGTAACGTCTGGGTCTAGTCCCCATGTTAGCGATTACAATCGGTTGAATTTTGACCGACCATTCAGAGAGCACGGAAGGCAGATGTTATGGTTGTGGTTGTGTCAAGTTGTGGTTGACGTCAAGAGTTTGCATCGAACGGGAAGGTCGTAGTTTGGCAATGGTGAAAAATGCGATAGTAAAGTAATCCGGTCTGGTTCTATCAAGAAATTGAAGCCGGAGCAAGAGGAATGTTTAGCAAATGTAATCGCTGGAAAAAATGGTGGCGCTACTCCCCACGGGCTCCGTTAGCGGCAAAGGAGATGGCTAAAGCTAGGCTAAATGCTAAATGCTAACGACAGACTCCGGCGCACTACATACGTCACGGTAAACTCAGATCCAATCGTTTCAATCTGCAAAAGAAGTTAACCCCTCCCACCTGTTTACGGAGCTCAATGGAGCAAATCCAGACCTTAGTATGAAATGTCATTTGTACTATGGTGTGGTACGACCAGGCTAATTTAGAAAATGAATGTGTTTGAAATGGTCACAAACTGCAATCTCGGGCGGTTGAAGTTGGATGAATAAAAATAATAAATAAACAGATTTTGAAATGAATTGGTTTGTGTTTCTCGATTGTAATTTTGTGCATTCTGTATTTTTGTTTTTGTTAGTCAGTTAATGGGACACACAAAAGTCTGCCAGTCTATGTATTTATTTTTAAGCAATTTATTTTTTTTGCAAGAACACATACAAACAAATACAGTTCCAGGACAGCAAAATAATCAAACCAAAACATAATGTATAAATATATTTTTTGACTAACAAACATATTGCCCTGATATTTCCAACCACCATCTCCAGCGACAAATGATCCTTCACCTGCGTGCTTTGGAGAGCTACAAGTGAAATAAAGTGTTTTTACATCTAAATCAGAGGTGTCAGACTGCTTTTGTTCTTTTAGAAATGATTCACTATTCTGTAAATCGTAAATTTCTCCATTGTGAGATTAATGAAGTTTCATTTTATCTTATTTTGGACAAATTCTGATTCAAATATAAGATACATTATAGTTGTTGTTTTTTTATTGCATTTTGGATCAAATGTGTGAAATAAAAATTATATTTGTTGTTTTCTTGAAAGAGAAAAAAAAACTCCAGCCCTAAAATGAATGGACTGTAGAACGTGCCATGGTATTTATCAAATCCTCTTACCATCAATGCTGGAAAAGGAATCATAACTGAAAATTGTGTTGGAAGTCTCTAAAAATACAAAGTAGTGCCTGGCCAGCTTCATACAGCTCACGTGGGACTTTTCAGACCTTTTCTTTAAGTTAACTCATGTTCAATTACAAAACATAAGAATGATGATAATACATCTTCATTTGTATAGTACTTTTCAAAAACAGTGCTTACAAAACACTGTACAGTCAGCATAATCAATACAAATAGCCAATAAAACAGTCAAAATAATGCAATGTCAAAATAATTAAAGTAGATACAATAAAATTAGGGGCGACAGTAGCTCAGTTGGTAGAGCATTGGCCTTAAGCCCAGAAGGTCGTGGGTTCAATCCCCACCTCTGCACCTTCTCCACCGACTCCCACTGATGACTGCTGTCGTTGTGTCCTTGGGCAAGACACTTAACCCCACTTTGCCCAAAAAGCTCCCACTGAAAGATCAAGGCTATGCTCACACTCAGAGAGCAGCCGTCCTCCTGTGGACTCACCACCTGCAGAGGGTCAGTGTCAGCTGGTGCTATGAGACTTGGGTGGCATCTCTGACTGCCACCCCCCTGACCCAGAAATGGATTAAAGGGTAGAAAATGGATGGATGGAAATGGACAATAAAATTAAAATAAAACTTGGTAGATACAGGAAGACAAAGCAGACAGAAGACACACAAGAGGAAAGACATAACAAAGACAAAGTGGAACAGTAAAATACAACATGTTAAGTTTAAAACCAACAGTTAAAAGCAGTTTAACAGTTTGATTAAAGTGGGTTTTAAGAAGAGGTTACTGATGCAGCGAGCCTTATCTTCTTGGGCGGCTCGTTCCAAAGCCAAGGAACCCGGACATAGAGTTTTTTAGAAATAGGAGTTGAACATTTGCAGTCCAAAACCGAAAACGAAACTGTACTATTTAAAAAACCAATCTGACATCCTTCTGAAGAATGAAGTGGGATTTTCCAGGCGTTTGTTGTCGTAGAATCCTCCCTCATTCTTCTCCACAGTGCGGTCAATGGTCTGCAGCAGCTGTGTGGTCTGATATGTGTTGTTCCTGTATGTATCCTCGCTGTTGTTCCAGTATTTATTATCAAACACGTGACAGCGACCTCCACACTTCTGGACCAGGGACCTCAGAGCTTCAATCTGATGATACCAATCTTCAATCTTCTGCCCATCATCAAGATTGTCTCCATGAGTGAAAACCACAGTGGTGTATTTCAGAGCTTCCTCAGAGAAATATTTCAGTATATAATCAACCACATGCTGCTCCTGTGCTGTGAACCTCTCCACTCTGAGCACCAGCAGAAAAGCATGGGGTCCTGGTGCACAGTCTTTCATAGCTTTCAGGACTTTTTGACCTAAATCTGGGTCTACAAACTCCCACCCGTTAAACAAGGCAGGAATTTCAATCAGCTGGATGTTTCTCCCATGAGCCGATCTGACTATGGATTGGGGCTTGTGTGATGAATGGTTGACTTTAAAGACATGTTCTCCAAGTATTGTATTGATAACACTGCTTTTCCCTGCTCCGATTTTTCCCAGTAGTACAATCCTCAATGTTACTCCTGTTGCTCCTAGAAAAATATGAAATATAAAAAATATATATATATATAGAATGAAAAAAAAAAGATTGAAACTGTTCTCAAACTGTTCAAACCAACAAGTAAATCAAAATCACTTCAAATACATGCAGTCTTGCTACCTGTTTTGGTCTCTTTGCAGCTGCAATCTCCCAAAAAGGGAATACTACATAATGTGTCATAATAGCTCAAGTATAGACATAATAAAAAAAATTAAACTAAATTATGAACTTCGGAGTAAAACAAATATGATATGTCTCTTGACATCATGTGTCAAGAGACTTAGAGACAACTATGTAGAAACACTTAAGGTTATCATTCTAGAAAATCATACAAATTCAAGTCAATGAGAATAAATTATTTTGTCAATACCACATAGAATAAGTGGGTGATGTACAAACCTTGAAAAGAGCTTGTGTCTTCCTCCATTGATGGTCTGTTTTCAACCAGAACATTTGCATATTTTTCAACCAGATCATTTGCAAATTCTTTAACACCGAGTAGAGCACCCAACAGGACTTCAGCGGCAAATTGAACATTTAACCGTATTCTCTTCATGTTATTTATCACAAATTCCAGGTACTTGTTTGTGTAATGTTTCCCATTCTTGTCCATCACAGTTTGGTGGAGGGTGTTGAGCAGCTGTGTGACTTCGTTCTGGTTGTCCCAATATTTATTATCAAAGACATGACAGCGGCCTCCACACTTCCGCACCAGGGACCTCAGACCAACATTATCTTGAACCCAATTTTCAATCTTCTGCCCCTCCAGCTGGTCTCCATGAGTGAAAACCACAGTGGTGTATTGCAAGGCCTCATCAGAGAAATGTTTTAGTATTTTATCAACAACTTGCTGCTCCTGTGACGTGAACCTTTCCACTTTGAGCACCACGAGAAAGGCATGGGGCCCTGGGGCACAGTCCTCTATGCACTTGAGTATGTCTGAACTCAGCTCCGTATTGTTCAGCTCTGTATCAAACAAACCCGGAGTGTCGATCAAACGAATGAGTCGCCCGTTTATCATTTTAGTTTCTCCGTGACATTCTTTGGTCTCAGATTTGGCAGCAGCGCTCTTCTTAAACTTGCCCTTCTCTCCATAAATGACGTTTGCCAAGCTACTTTTTCCTGCTCCAGTTTTTCCCAGTAACACTATCCTCATTGGTTCATTTTCTAAAACAATAAAATGTTATAGTAAATTTAAATGTAAATTTAAAGAGAGTATGGATAATACATAAATAAAACAGTTTCTTTACTCACCCTCCATGTTATAATTTAACTTTGAATGTGCTGTCTTACATCTGAAATCCGGTTTGGTGAGTTATAAGTGTTGGTTTTGCTTTCAGTTTTATGAGGAAAAGGAGTGTCTTATTTTATGTCAAGGCACGTTAACGTATAAAGAATGAAAGAAAACAAACAAGTTGTTAAAAGTGCATCACCCGTCATTATTATTATTATTGTTATTATTATTATAATTATATTATTATTATTATTACTATTATTATTATTATTATTATTATTATTATTACATTATGACCATACATCGATAGTTTTCTGCCGTCATTGTTTAGTTTGGACTGACACAAAATGTATCCAATCAGTGCACAGCCTACGCTCCTTTAGTATCCAATCAGAGCGGGGCTTGCTGTTGCGGGGCGGATTCTTCTTCCTCTACGCCATTTTGTGTCTCAAGGTGATTCCAGCTTCTCTGCCCCATGCGGACCTGTGCGCATTATTCTCGCAAATAACATCGCAGAATTTTGCTCATTTTTACTATTTGCTCCCGGTGAGTATTTTTTCACGAGATATTTTTCCACTGTTTTTATTTTTTCTTGACTTTGAGCCTCTTTTGAGCTGTTTTTTTGGGTTTATTTTTTCACGCATTTTCCCCCCAGCTTGTCGTAACGTTAACCATCTCCTCCATGGCCTTTGTTGCGTTCATTTTGTAGATGTGCAAGGCTCCAAACCATGGATCTATTATATGCTCCAAACTAGGTGGTCAACGCAAGCTGTTCCATGTTGTGTCCTATTATTAAACCCGTCTGTATCTGTGTGAGCTCGGACCATCACTGTGTCTCCAGCTTGTTATATTTTTAGGCCCCGAATCCTAGCTGCTGTTGCTGCTACAGGCTGCATTTTACTGGTGCAGAGATAATGGAGCTGTTTATTCGTCCCATAGTCACTGATAACATGTGTAACGGCACTGGGAATATTATGCATCCAAATATAAGAAAAACATTTTCAAGCTGATTTAATAATACAATACAATACATGCTCTTATGACATATAGATTGCATTCTATTTTTGCCTCACTGTATTTGCACATACCAACATAGGACATGGAAGACTTATCTGCCATTAATTATCAATGGGCACAATATGATACTGTAATATCTTTTTCATTACCTTCGAACTACAGTGTTATGTAATGTTTGTACAGGTGAACACAAAGTACAGACTTGAATAATCACATTTTCTTTCTGCTTTAGATATTTTGGAGCTTTTGATTTTAGAGGAATTTTAGTCAAAAAAAATAACAGTTTAAAGGAAACTTGATTCCTTACATTTCCCACAATCACCTCCTTCATGTGTAGATTTGTGCAGTAAACAACGCAACCTCAGCAAGAGAGTTGCTTCAATTTGTATCAAAAGAAAAGCCTCAAATTGATACGATTTATAATCAATTAAACCAGAAATAAACGGTACATTTATCTTGTATACTATTGGTAACTTTTAAGTAAAAAAACAATTAATCAAGTGTATGACATGACTCATTTCACGACTGCTTTTTTCCCTCTGAAACTATGTACAAGACAGTTTCCCTATTTTAAAAATATATTTTGAGTTGACTTTGCTGCTTGTTACATTTCTAATTTTGATCTTTTTTGTTTTTCTGTATAGTTTTTGACGCTGCTTTTTTGAGAATCGACAAACCCGTAAGTTGATATCATGCCCTAATTTTTTTATTTATTTTTTCTACTTTCGCTCTTTTCACATATGGATGTGCTTCTTCTGTTTTTTTCACCATAAAGAAATCACTCATTGGCTTTTTTCAATCGATATTTTTGATTTTGCAGCCACTTCAAATGTGCATGAAACTCCTGACGTTGTGGATTTGAAGCATGATTTTTATTTTTTCATGTTAGAAGCAACTACTAACTCAAGTCTTGCACAATCATTCAACAATACATTTAAATACAGTATGTACAAAGAACTCTGGCGTTCAGTCCAGATCACATTGCTCCATAAAGACATGATAAAGCAGATAAAAATGCTCTGCTGTTGTCACCAAATCCTCAAGTTAAAATTAGTTCTATGGGCACAAAAGGGAATTTAAATCAATCTCCTATGAAAGGATGTAAATTAACGAATCAAATCCACACAATGCTGCCTCCTTGTGGTCGCTTAGTGGATGCAGCTCCCCAAAATGGGGTCTGGGGGCATGGACTGCAAGGGGACTCCCAAAGGTCACCCATCAACCAGTATTTAGAATTAAACAACTTTCTAAATAAAAAGTAAACACTAAAACCTATTTCCAAAAGAGCAAAGAATGAAAAGCTCCAGGATCCTTGGGTCTCTTCACAACAGAGCCCCAGCATTGGAGCATCGGACTAGTTCATACCACTGGTTCCCAAAGTGGGGTTTGCAAGATGATTTTTAGATTCTTTCAAAAGTATTTTAGGAGATTTATTGCATACACTTTCTTTGTTCTGTTCTTTATTTTGTAGGAGTGGGGGGTCTGTCTGAAATCTTTGGGGAACCTTTGAGAAGAGATTTTAAGATTAGTACTGCTTAAAATGAATTTGCACCATGAGTGAAGAAGGTCCCTTTGTCATTTTAGTCTCTTGGCTGTAATGGGATTTAAAAATAAAAATAAATAAAAAGAAGTTAAAGCCATCAAACATGAGATGAACTAATAACAAGAACATGAATGAATAAAATGTATTTGAAGACTAATTTGTATTTGTTTGATTTGGATTGTGCCTGGTAAAGCATACATAAAAGAAATGATGAATGCAAACATACAATGGGGTAGGGATTAAAAAAAATAACAAATCGTTGCCTCCTCAAAATAGTTGATAAATAATTTACTATTACAATCTTCCAGTTTTGGTTTGTTCCAAACATAACTGGACTCTATTTGTTCAGAAGAAAATACCAGTAATAGCAATGCTTTGGTCTGAATAAAGTAAAACCATTAGTATAAAAAAAAAAAATCTTTATTTTCTAAATGGAGTTTGACAGCCCTAAACTTCCATTAGGCCACACACACGTTTAAATGTACAGTTAATCTGAATACTACAGTTATACTTTTACCTTTGTAAGAAGTGCGTTAAAACTGAGACCATCTGCCAAATGAACATGGGCAAAACTTACTCTACTATCGTCAAAGATCAACAACAGAAACTGATCAGACAAAGTTGATCATGAAGAATGACAGCGGAGTCCATGTTTTCTGGGGGGTTTTAATACACAATGTGAAATGTGAGTACAGTGCCACCATTTGGAATTGGGTCTAGGTTTAATGCATCGTTTAGATTGCCAGTATTTAAATGTTTACAAAATGCTCGATGGTTACATTTATAGAACACCAAAGTTGTGTAAATGTATAAGTCTCTCTAACACAGTATCATTGGTGAGGACTATTTTCCATTTGTATTGGCCTAAAGGAAATACTTTGTCATTTTAATATGAGTATTTCATAAGTCTTATCCCATCTCCTTTCCTCCCCATTGTCTCTCCCTTTGTATTTTCTAAACGCTGTCAAACATTGAATGTAAATTGTCAGCTTTCAGCTTGTGGCCGTAGAATCTTGCAACTGGATCGTCTCGTTGACCGAACACAGACATCATGGAGTGAGTGACATACATTACAGGGTCAGAGGCGTATTTGGGGGCGATATTGAAAAGAATGAATATGTCTGTCTAATTTACCAGTGTTTTTCCCAATAAGGATTTTGATAAAACAGCACCGAGCACATCTCCGTAACCTTTCATAACCCGTCCGTGTGTTGCAGTCCCAGAGCCGCAAACATGGCCAGCAACGTGACCAACCGCAACGACATGCGCTCGCTCAACTCCCGCGTCTTCATCGGGAACCTCAACACGCTGCTCGTCACCAAGGCCGACGTGGAGGCCATCTTCTCCAAGTATGGCAAGATCGTGGGCTGCTCCGTGCACAAGGGCTACGCCTTCGTCCAGTACCTGAGCGAGCGGAACGCCAGGGCAGCCGTGGCGGGGGAGGACGGGCGCATCATCGTGGGACAAGTGCTCGGTGAGAACTGACGGCCGGTTTATACTTGGCCTCTTCACGTGAACTTTGTGTGGGTTCAGTTTAGGTTTTGAATATAAATCTATAGTCTATACTACTGTTGTCAAAAAGGTCCACAAAGGATCAGTGTGTCTGCTGGATTTCATTCCAACCAAGCAGGAGCACCCTAGACCACCCTCAACTGAGTCCAGTCTTGACCCGAGGAAATGGTTTGTCTCCTGTGCTCCTGCTTGGTTGGAATGAAATACTGCAGCCACACCGGCCCTTCATGTAATCTCTAACTATTAAGCATAGAACCTAGACGCTCATGTCAAGAAGTATTGATACTGGGGGGAAGAAAGATAAAATTAGATTCTCAGAGTATTTTTTCACTGATTTTTGAGCTACTAAAGAACCTTGTGGTACTTTTTCTTTCTTTTTTTCTTTTGTATGTAGCGGTGTTATTCATGTTTAAATTGCAGCTCTTTGTCCAAATAAAGATTTGGTTATTAGATTATCACTGTTACTGGCTATCAAAATTGTTTGTATTTTTAGTATTGTGATAAACTCTTGTTTGGTATAGCATACAATTTTAAAGGCGCAAATGTGTGACTCTTCTTACAAAACATCAAATTGAAATGGAAATGATGTTGCCTGAGCAGTCTGTTCAAATGCAGAATGATCTTGGACCAGTTACAAATTAAACTGAACAGTGAATTTTCTTTGTGCAAATATGAAAACGCCTCAGATCAGACAGATTCGACCTGAAGCGTTGTGTTTGGAGGAGGGGAAAAGTCTTCTTCAGCGTGGATGAAACTTAAGCTTCTATGTTGCTCTTATTTTCTTGTTTAGACATAAATTTGGCCGGAGAGCCTAAACCGCAGAGACCAAAGACCTCAAAGCGCTCTGCATCAGACATGTACAGGTGAGTGGATGGCGCCCCCTACTGGTTAATAATCACAGTGACTGAGAACCTAGTTTGTTGCCAGATCTGACCATGCAAAGTTTTATCCTCAGTGTTTTTTTCTCTCTGTGCACAGTTCCTCTTCAGTTGACCTGGATTACGATTTTCAAAGAGATTATTACGATCGGTAAGTGCCTCAAAGATTACTGCAGTTAATTGTCCCAGAGGAATTGAGTTAGGTCAAGTATACATGTATAAAAGTTCTCAATTAATAGTTACTTTGCTTTAACTATTTTAGATAAAAAATGACAATGAAACGTGATAAAATGGCCTTGTCTGGAAAGAAAAAAAATTACATTACAATCTCCTTTGATGGCATCATTATCAGCTGCATTTGGGAGAAATGTATTACAATTTCATACCCATCCTCTAAACAGCTTAACAATTACGTGAAAGCAAAATCACTAGATACATTTTTTATCAAGATAATTGATAGTTTCAGCCGTAATCTGAATGAATAAAAAAACCTTTCCATTAGCATTTGTGGCATCAAAATATCTCAAAAGCGTTTAAATTTCACTTGACCTAACCCAAACAATCACACCTCGTAAAAGTACCATAAAGGCCAAGGAAGGAGGCATTTATCCAACCCATTTTCAAACCATATGCACAAAGTTCAGCTGTTTGTTTGATGGATTGGTTTTGTACATGCCCCATAATATTTTTGGTAGATTTTTGTTATTGATTTATGAACTGGATGCAGCCTGAACTAGAACACTGCACCTTTCTTTCCCCCACATCTTGTATTATGATGTTGTTGCAGCGTGTACACGTACCCGTCCCGTCTGCCCGTCACCTCTCTGCCCCTGTCGCGGCCCGTCGTCCCCTCTAAACGCCCCAGAGTCAGTGTGAGCGGAGGCAGCAGCAGGAAGGCGCGCAACAGCTTCTCCTCGTCCACCAGGGGGAGCCCACGAGCCTCACGCACAAGTAAGTGGAGCCGAAGACGAGACGCACACCCAAGATTTAATATTTACAGTCTATGGATATTTAACCTAGCATCCTGGACTCACAAAAATAATTTATCAAGATGGTTCACGCTGGTGGCTCAAGTACTCGCACGCCACTGTACATTATTTCTATCATTTTAACTTTTACTTTGTCATGTCATGTTTGAAAACTTAAGTCTGTGTTGGTCAAAACAGGACCAACACTGCCATCTGCTGGTGTCAAACAGGACAATCATGCTCCGTCATCGGTTTAACAATGACAACAATGAGGGTCTCTAAAAGTTTTAAATAAATGCAGAGTCTAAGAACTGTGTTTGTGGCTGTGTTTTTTTTAGGTAGATATTGTCTCTTTTGTAACTATTTCTCTTTCCAGTGCGAGTGGACGATCTGCAGACAGTGAAACGGGAGCTGACGCAGATCAAACACAAGGTGGATTTTCTGCTGGAGAGTTTAGAGCGAATGGAGAACAGCTGCAAGGGTCAGGAAACTCATAGTCCTCATGTGACCATTTCCCACTGTTATTGTTAAAAGGGCATTACGACGACGACCTCTTCTCCCTCGCAGACGTCCGCAGTTCGACCGCAGAACCAGGTGAAGTGTCTCCGGCGTCGTCGTACAAACAGGACTCGGAGCTGACCCAGGATCAGAACCACGAGCTGAACTCAGAGGAGGAGGGAGACCTGCTGGACGACGATCAGCCAGAGGTGAGGACCGAGCCGGGTTGGGGTGTGTCCGTGTCAACATAAAGAACCAAGTGCATCGGTTTGTCGTATTTGATCATGTTCTCTGAAACACTGGTCAGTCACACATCTCGCCACACTTCTACTGTATACCACTTGTTTATTACTGTAAACTGCTGGTTCGCACTTACTGTAGTTTTATAGCTTTGAGGCTAAGCATGGTCAGTACTCGTAGTGGTGATGGGAGACCTATTACGTGTCTGTCTGGTCGGAGGGACCCATAGCACAGATCGGCTGCATTTTTTTCCAGAGATCCCAATGGTGAAACTCGTCTGATATTTCTAAATTATCCTTCCTTAATGGATCCTGATAATACACATAGATAGTATTGTTATATTATCCTTAAAACACATGTATTTTATTGGAGAAACTTTTATAAATATCTTGCAGCTCGTGCAAATTGTCATTTCCAACCATTTTCTTTAACACAGTTGAAGGAGGAGGACGGCGAGCGGGAGGAAGGCGAGGACGACGGAGACAGCGCCAACGGAGACTGAGGCTGGGATTCTTTGAAATCACACAGAACAATGTTTACGACTCATTGGATCTGAAGGAAAGGAATGTGCGGCGCCATTTTCCCCTATTTTACCTCAATAACTTTTGCATCTCATTTCGACTCCTGGACAATGGGACTTTGTAAAGACATGGCTGCAGTGTTGCCGCTTCACCAGCAGAGGGCAGCCTGTCATTAAAAACAAGCCAATTCACCATTACTGCTTCAAGTAAACTGCAATGTCTCATAAAAACATGGAAAATGCACATACAGAAAGCTTTGATAGGAAATTTGTTTTAGATTTTATCTTTTATTTTACCGTAGGTCAGTGCGATTCAATGTTTAATTGTTGTCAAGTTTGTATCTAAAGCACTGGTTCAACTTAATAAATATTATGTTTCTTGTAGTGAGTCTTTTTGCACCAACATTAATTTATGGATAACAAGTATTATCATTGATTTGAAATGTTTGTTTCCTTGTATACTTTTCCAATACCAGGTTTTTAAGTGATAAAGATGTTTAGGTGAATTAAGATTTTGCTTAGAAATCTTGTTCGGCAAGAGTAATTAGTAATTTTCTATCAATATTGTGATTTTAGAAGCATGATGACCCTACTATTGGCTCATTAGCAAGACCACATTAATCTTTGTGGCTTTTCTAGAGCTGCTTCCTCCCAATATATAAAAATGTCGTCTTTAAATGGATTTAAATACCTATTTTTACAATTTTAAATTGTAATCCTTAATGTTGGTAGACTTGGAGGTGAAAACTTTAAGTCTTAAGGTCAACGTGCAAAATATTCAGCAGATTAATAAAATGTGGCTATCTGGGTTACCCACATTTTGATCTGGTGCAATTTGAAATGTTCCATTCTGGATGGAATCAGAAGAATACAGGGGGCAGTTATTGCAGAGGTGAAACTGGGATTATTGCAGCAAAGGCAGCTTGATCGCAGACGCACTTATACTTCATTCCTGAAATACTCCAAACTCAGAGTAAATGTGTATATGAAAAGGACAGGAGTGATAAGTCCATTAACACAGTACGTCTCTCCTAATGACCCCTGATGGACGTGTTGTAAGTGAAGGCTGTAATTGATCCATTTTCCTTCTCCAGCTGAGCCCTGTGAGCCTTCACCCTGTGACTGACGTGGTTTCTGCTCTCACATTATTCAACGCTCAGTTCAGAGTGGTGACAGTGTAAATGTGTCAAATAGCATGATTTTGTTTCATTGAATGTTGCACAGCTGTGTTTCTCTACAAGTCAAAATAATGAAATGAAAGTAAAAAGATTCAAATCCTAAACCAAATAACATATTTGTGTGGGAAAATGAGGGAAGTGAAGATTGTTCAGTTGATTATTATATCTGATATCTGAAGTGCTGACTGGGGTCTGGAAGTCGATAACTGACAGTTGTGTATTTCCTTGTGATGTATTGTATTATTACGTTTATTAAGGACCAAACCTATTACAAATGATATTTCAAATCTATATCATTAATGCCTCACAGCAAGAAGCCAAAAGACAATTGTTGGTTAAAAAAGCAGAAAAAATATAACGTCAAATAAAGAATTAATAATAAAGAAATTAATATTATCCATGAAATAACGTACATCCTGGAAGCCCATTAGTGTGATGTCACCAGGTGTAAAATGAGAAGGCAAATGGAAACACGAGCAATATTTGACAGAGTTGTTGATTTGGGTCGTTCCAATGCCTCAGCGTTAAAGGAGGTTGCGTCGTCAGCACTTTGAACCCAAAAAGCGGAATATTTTTACCCGTCAGAGGAAACTGATCCGATCACATACTGTAAACGTGAGTTGATGTGATGGGATTAAAGAGCCGTGACCCCTTTAACCATAATCCTGTTGTGCTCAAAAACTGAAATCTGTCTGTGCATCTTTTTCACAACATAATACACTTATGTATCCACATTTACACATCACAAAAATCAGATTAAAAGCCTCGATTGGGTTTTTGACGTTGTTTGCAGTAGTTTTAAACTTTTGCTTTTGAAAGGATTCAAGTCAAAATGTAAAACTACTGTAAACAACATCAAAACCACTGGTCGTTTGATCGATTCACATTCATTCAAGCAAAACTTGTATGAATGTTGAACTATTCAATTCATCATCCATATCCACGCCAGCGGAGAGACACCATTCCAGTCCTCCCCATTGGTTTCACACTGCAAAAAATGATACAATATGAGGTAGTAATTACTTGAATTGAGTGTTTTTTCATCGTAATTTGAGTACATTCCGTCTTTAAACAAGATCTGCCAATGGGACAAAGCCATTGAGTCTTATTTCAAGAATCTTTGCTCTATTTTCTCAGTCCAAAGGAGATTTTTCTTGTGCATTCTTTTAAGACAAAACCAGCTTTATCCATTGGCAAATTATTTTTTTAAGTCTGTCAAAATGTGCTGAAATTATGATACATTTTGCCAAATTTGTGCAATTTTTTAGTTATTTTTTGTCCCTTTTTTGCAGTGCAGCTGGCCTGAGGAGCAGCAACTCTAATCTGAGCCCATCTCCCTACCGCTAATGAAGGAAACTCATTTTGACAGCTTGTCCGTTTGATCCTCACTCACTGTGACCTGCGACACTTGAGGGAGGACTCCACCCGCCTGAGAGGGAAAAGGCCTCTTTTTTTCTGGTTTACAATCAAGGCCTCAAATTTCATGTTTGAAGATGTGAGCGATGCCATGTCACAGATTGCTTATTATTATTATTATATACCTATACCTTAAATACACGTGTTTTTTGCTTTTGTGTCAGAAAATTACATTGGCACAATTTATATATTTTTTTTCCACTCACTGCCAACATGCAGACCACATCGATGTCGGCATAATCTCTCCAACAGTTCTATAGAAAGAATCAGTCAGGCTTAGTCTGTTACTTTTCCCTTTTTATTGTCACCAATGGCTATAGATGGGTCGCTTCTCAATAATATTTGTTTAATCTATAGTAATTGCGTCACGTCCCTTTGTCTGCAGCACCCCGTGGCGTGCAGTGCAGAAATGGTATGTGTGTGTGTGTGTGTGTGTGTGTGTGTGTGTGTGTGTGTGTGTGTGTGTGTGTGTGTGTGTGTGTGTGCGATGGGGGGGTTGTATGGAAAAATGGATCATTCCCAAAATGCGGATTAGCAGCAGGGAAATAGAAAGTGGAAGTGTTGTGTAAGGAGACGGCGGTGTGCTGACGTCAAAGCACGTTTTGAAACTGGGTCATGGTGTGATGTCATCGGCCCCCTCCAGAGCACTGGGGCTTATATCACGAGTTAGTGTGGTATCAGTGACAGAAATGCACCAAAATGAGCGTCATCCGAGATCGTTCTGGTTTGAAATGCGGTTTTGAGTCTAGAAGAAAAGCAGTGATGTCACCTTGGGAAAAAAAATCTGAAAATTATGAAAAATGAAAGCGTGTGTTTTCACCCAATGGTTTTGTTTATTGCATTGAACAAAGTATTAAAAAGTACTTCCAGAAAGTTACATAATGTATTTTTAAGCAGTGTAAAGCAGGAGTACCCAAACTTTATTGAGTTAGAGGGCCACTTTAGATCATCAGAGTTGTCTACGGGCCAACAACATGGATTATACAACTGTTTTGAAAGGATTCAGGTGGTTCATGAGGTACGGCATGTTTTGACAGAGCTGAAGTTGGCTGAATGACAAATCTCGCCAGGTACATTCGCAGTTTCATAGAAATGTCAATATATTCAAATAAAGTACATTTCTGAATTCTACAGTTTTTGAGCTTTACAACTGATGGACGGACGAGAAAAAGGACAAAAACAAAGGCTTACAACACAACTCACAACACACACTTATGCAACACAAAACACAAATACACTCTTACAACACAAAAGATACACTCATGCAACACACATACATACACTCATTCAACACAAAACACACACTCATTCAACACAACACACATGCACGTATTCAACACAAAACACACATACAGTCATACAACACAAAACACACATACATTCATACACCACAAAACACATACACTCATACAACACACACACACACATACAACACAATACACACACTCATACAACACAAAAGACACACTTTCAACACAAAAGACACACTCACACTCATGCAACACAAAACACACACACACACACACACTCATACAACGCATCACATGACACAGGATCCGTTTCATCACCTGCATATGAAAGCCAGATCCCATCAAAAAAAAAAAAAAAAAAAAAAAAAAAATAATAAAAAAAAAAAAAAAAAAAATAAAAAAAAAAAAAAAAAAAAAAAACAAAAAAAAAAAAAAAATAAAAAAAAAAAAATAAAAAAATAAAAAATAAAAAAAACAAAAAAAAAAAAAAAAAAAAAAAATAAAAATAAAAAAAAAATAAAAACAAAAAATAAAAAAAAAAAAAAAAAAAAAAAAAAAAAAAATAAAAAAAAATAAAAAAAAAAAAAAAAAAAAAAAAAAAAAAAAAATATAAAAAAAAAAAAAAAAAATAAAAAAAAAAAAAAAAAAATAAAAAAAAAAAAATAAAAAAAAAAAAACAAAAAAAAAAAAAAAAAACAACAAAACAAAAAAAAAAAAATGAACAAAAAACACACAAAACGATATACAAAAAAGAAAAATAAAATAAATAAAAAAAAAATAACAATAAAGCTCCAAACAAACAAGCAAATCCAAAATAACAAATAAAAACACAAACATAAAAACCAATCAACATAAACACAAAAACAAGAAAAAAACAAACATAACACACATAAAACAAAAAATAAACTTATTAACAAAAAAATAAAAAGAAACATTAACATAACCAATAATAATAATTTCAATTCACAAAAAAAAACAAGAAAATCAAAAATACAAAATAAAAATAAAAAAAACAAAAAACGAAAATAAATACGCAAAAAAACAAAAAAACAAAATATCTAAAAAAAAGAGCAACAACAAAAACAAAACAAAATATAAAAGGCAAGAAAAAAAAAAAAAAAAAAAAAAAGCAATTAAT